AAGTATGTTGCTTTTGTTCAGTGATTTAGATTTGTTGTCTCATGGCGCCTGTTAAATTGGATCCAGCTATTAGCAAAATGTACTCATTTTCCCTGAAGCCAGTCTCCTGTTTGCAGACCAAAAGGCTTAGTAAAGTCTAGCTTCCTTTCTCCTCTTAACAAAGGCATGGTTTAAATTACTTGTTTTCTAAATCTTACTGGTAGACCTCAGAAGTAAAATATTTATTTTTTGTTTTATGATTGAGAACACGAGCAAGCCTGATCATTGCAATGTAACATGTGAAGCTTTCTTTGAGGATGTTTTCTAGGCTTGTCTGATTGTCAAGGGGGGGGATTCTGCCCCTCTGCCCCCTCAGGTGAGACCCCCCTGCAGAGCTGCTCCAGCCCTGGGGAACAGCACAGGGAGGACATGGAGCTGCTGGAGAGAGTCCAGAGGAGGGTCAGCAAGGTGATCAGAGGGATGGAGCACCTCTCCTATGAGGAAAGGCTGAGAGAACTGGGATTGTTCAGTCTGGAAAAGAGAAGGCTTTAAAGTGACCCAGTTACAGCCTTTCAGTACCTGAAGGGAGCCTACAGGAAATATGGAGAGAGACTTTTCACAGGGGCCTGGAGGGAGTGGACAAGGGGGAATGGCTTCAAACTCAGAGAGAGCAGGTTTAGATTAGATGTTTTAGATTAGATGTTTTTGGAAAAAAATTCTTTAATGTGATGGTGGTGAGGCAGTACAACAGGTTGGCCAGAGAAATTATGGGTGCCCCATCCCTGAAGATGTCCAAGACCAGGTTGGATGGGGCTTGGAGCAACCTGGTCTAGTGGAAGGTGTTCCTGCCCATGGCAGGGGATGGGACTGGATGATCTTTAAGATCCCTTTCAACACAAGCCATTCTATGATTGTGTGGCACAGGGGAGAATAATATGGATTAGATAAAGGAATTTATCACCCAGCTCAGAAAAAATTAGTATATCTTTCATTTAAGATGTGTTGAAAATAGCTCAAAAATGTTGTTTCCCTGGTATGTATGTCACTGGGAGCTTTTCTTTCGAAAGTCAAGCCATCCATGTGATGCCTTAGATGGGTTTAGTCCATCAGCTTCAAGCACCATTTCCCAAAGGTCTTGGCCCAGATTGCTGAAACAAGAGGACTGTCCTTAGAGATGGATTATTAGTATATTTTATGTAAGTATTTATTTCCCTTAACTAATCTCATGCAGCAGCTTGTATTGTCTGAAAACAGACTAAGCATAATTTTGGTTTCCTGTTATCTTCCATAGCACTGTAACTCAAACAGGTAATGTTTGAGATACAAATAATATTTATATTAAAATGAAATTAAAAGATACTATGAGGCCCCTGGAGTTATTTGTATAAGATGCTGCTCCTAAATTTAGAACTCTGCTGTCTGGCAGCATCCTTTCCAAGATGTTCTGTTGAGGTGCTAGCCAATATTTACATCTCAGTGTGGTTGATGTTTATGAAAATCAAATATTGTACTTGAGACAGTCACTGTCTCAGTATCTTCCCGCCACTGGACTGTGCCTCAGAAATGCACTACTAATAGCAGTAGTGTCTTGCAGAAATCACAGTAACAAACTCTATTTAGCTTACAAAGCCGGCAGTGGCAATGTCTGCACCACCTCCAGAAGCAGGGCAGGAGGAAAAAAAACCTATTTCCAAGCCATGAGAATCCATCCAGGAGGAGTCTGAGGTGTCAGCAGGCCCCCATCACCCCTGTGCCCACTGCTCCCCATCCTGGGGGGGGTCAGGCATGGGCTTGGAAGGACAGCTCCTGCAGGCTAAGGGAAGAAATTGTGTTTCCAACTTTGGCATGTGGGTCCTTGCAGCTGCCAGACCAGTAACAGTGTGTGTGGGTGGTTGGACAGTTGAAGGTGTTGCTTCAGATCCAGAAAAGTCCTGTGTGCTTTCTGCCAGCAATAACAGGATGGATTGCTGTACATTACTTTTCAGGTTTGGTTTGTTGTTCATGGTGTAAGCAGCCAAAGTGACATATGGTGTGCATCTCTGAACTGTGCAGAACAGCTCAGAGAAACATGCAGGGAGAAAACTGGGAGAGGACTAATGCATTCTTATTTTTGCCACTGAGTATTTGCTCCTGGGAGGAAAAGAAAAGCCAAGAAGAGTACACACAGGATGCAGTATGGTTAGCTCAGTCCTACCACAAGCTCCTCAGTTTTCAAAATTTCCTTTTGAGTCTGTTTTGTCAACAGTGCCTGCTCACATGACTCATTCACGGGGCTGGGAGGATGTGGGGCCTGGTTCACTTTTCCCACTCTAAGCGTTGGACGAGACTCTGGGAATTGAATTATTTTTTTCCACACTACTGTTATGTGACTAAAAGTCTTATGTTCATGGAATCAGCCTAGGGCGCGGAGTATCCCAGAAAAATTGCTTCTTTATAGTGCAGTGGAGTATCTGGGGAATTAATGCCTTTGCTGTAGCTGAGGTCTGGGAACCGTGGCTGTCGTGGGCAGGGGCAGGAGAGAACCAAGGTGTGAGTGCAGCCCACGTTATCCAGGGTACCCCCTGCCCCTCCTGGGCTCCAGCCAGCCCTGATGCCCGTGCTCTCCTCCCTGAGGTCCCACACAAGCCATGGGGGGGCCCCCGGGCTGACTGAGCCCCCGGTTCCACGGTGTGATTCTCCCCAGTTTGCTCTGCCATGGGAGCATCTGGGGCTTGGGGAGACAGGAGACAAACGTGTAATCTGAGGATAACAGACATGCTGCTTCTGGCCCAGCTGGCAGAGTGCCAGCATTTCGGATCTGGGAACATGCTGGGATTTGTGCTCACCCTGGGAAAGAAAGGAAGAAAGGCAAAGGAGAGAAAGGAAAGTGTGTTCTGTCCCAGACCTCACTCAGCAAATAAATAGTTTTTAACTGTTTGAAAGGAGGTTGGTTGCCAAAGACAGAACAGTTAAGGGAGTAGGCACAGCTTAATTCCATGTTTTCCAAAGTCCTTGGGATTCTGATGATCAGGCCACGGTGCAAATGTCAGTCAGTCCCACATGACGTTGGTATGTGAAGTAAGACCATGTGAGTGGCTTCACAGAGAGAACTTCTGTTCTGCTGTCCATGCAGCTACAGGGGTTGCACCACAAAATATGTTTTGGGGGCAAACTGGCTTGTGAGCCAGGTCCCTACTTCTTTTCGAGAGTACTCAGAAATACAGGCCCTAAAGTCTTGTGACTCCTCCTTTAGGAGCAATAGATGTTTTAATAACTTCAGGGGAAAAAACAGCTCCACCAGGAGGCATGAAGAGAGCCCCATCCCAGAATACATTATAATCTGCTGTTGAAATATCCCCACTGAAGGCACAGTTTGAGATCTTGAGCAGCTACAAAAGCTGGACTTGATTGCTCACCTCCTGGGTAAGTGCTGTAACTGCTGGACCATGAGAAGTAGAAGAGCAGTGATCACAGGAGGGGACCACAGTCCCTTTCTCCTCCCTACAGTTCTCCACATCACTTTGAGAATACATAAGGAATCCTGTTTGGGTTTTTTTTGTTTGGTTGGGTTTTTTTTTAATATATGGCAAAATGTGCAAAATAAAATATATCTGCAGTCTTTTAAATGTGTTTATATTCTGTTTGGTTAATTCACTCTACAGATGGGAGAGGGGTATGTTAAGTTTTGAGCCTGGATAGTTTTGTCCAGGCATGGAGCTACTTGGTGCTGTGAGAAACACCCTGTGACAAAGCTGGATTGCCTGGGAAGAGTTTTACTGCTGAAACATTTAGTGTCTCGAGGGAGAAGCAGCAGCTGGGTAGGGCTTTGAAAGTCTACATTATGAATATGGGCATCTACTGCAAAGTGAGCTGAACCTTGGAAAGCTATTTCTTTTGTAAATTGAGCTTCGGTTCCACTGGCAGGAATCTTAACAGCTGTTATTCTGTCAGCAAAAAGCTTTAAGAGACAGCAATTATTCCTTACCATGCACTGCACTGTAACTGTTAGGGATCTTACACGCAGTGAGCGCAAAATCCACTTGGCCCCAAAACCCTGCAGCTTTTTATTTCATTCGTGAGTGAATTTATTTCATTCAAACTATTGTGTGTAAGGGGTTGGTGGAAAGGCATATCAAGTACACAAAAAGGACTCTTCCACGACCTGTGAGTGTTTATAATTTATTAATTATGCTACTAGAATTAACATCTAATTACATAAATCTGTGAAATTTTTTCCTGAGATGTAAAGTTGCTAAGAACTAGTATGAAAAGGAAATTATTTTCAAATACCTTATTTCCAAAAGCACAAGAATACTCTAGTGTGCCTTTCCCCCCCTCCCTTTCTGGCTCCCATTCTCAATGTTATCAGAAATCTGTCATTCAGAAAAAGGTTCATGCTCAGTTACTTGATATAAGCACAATTTGGACTCAGTTTTGAAAAAATATTAGAACTGCTAATGTTTTATTCTTATCATGAAAGGTGATTGTTCTTAGGTGCCCTGACTTTTGAAAGATTGTAAGAGCAAAGGCTATAACAGAAGGATTGGGAGTTATTCCCCCTGCCTGTTTTCCTTTTGTGTCAGTGCTGAACCACTAATGGAATATCAAATGTTAGTCTGGTCACTGCCCACAACTGGGCAAGCCTTGCTGGAGAGTCAGATGACACTACAAAAAGTAGCTAAGAACAAAGTCAGAAATGTAAAGGCAACAACATAAAGACACATATGGAATTCATGTTCATACTACTTAAATAAAAACATTTTTTCAGTTGTGATTTACCTGAAAATTTAATTTCAGAATGTCAGTGACTGTTTTTGTCAATGTGTATGTCCATGGTGGAACAGCATAATGGCTTCTCAAATACAGATGGATATTACATGCTTTACAAGGCGCTTAAAACCTGTTACTAGCAAAGATATGGTGGCAAAACTGTTTAGTTTAACTGAAAGCTCCCTGTTTCATGGGTTTATATCTAACTCTTACCCTTTTTGCACGGGTGAAATACTAGTACAGAATTATATTTATGACTTGTGTTCCCACAGGTTCGTCATCGGTGGTGTGAGCTTGTCATTAAACACAAGTATGTGCCTGGGTATGGAGATGTGGAGAGATTTCTCAGAGAAGATCAGGTAAGTTACATTTAAATTAGCATTTTGAAAACAATCAACTTTTTGACACCCTTAATCTGAAACAAAAAAAAATATTTTAATATATTTTCTTGCTGCAGTTTGTCAAAAACTTGTCTGTGTATTCAGTTTTTGCCTCTTCTGCCAGTTAAACGTTGTAGTTTAAGGAAGCCACCGAGGGTAGGTGTCTGCAACCCCCCTGAGCATCCTAATCTTCTGTCCAGTGGTAAAATAGGATATAATCCATCCTCTTCTTCCCTTTTATGCAACCTAGAGGTAACAATGATGCTGGGAAGATATTTCCCAGCACTGGTTCCTTTTGCAGGGTGGTGAAGGCAGGTCTGACTGGGAATGCTGCCAGAAGATTCTGAAGGCCTTAAAAGGCTGTCCTTACATGTCCTTACAATAGCCTTTTATTTAGGCCATTGTGAACTTAAAATTCTAATTGTACCCCTGCCTTGTTCTTTCTATTTCAATTTTATTTATTTTTATTCACTGTGAACTCTATAAAATTGAGACATTCTCTGCCTAGGATGACTGTTATTTATTTAAAATGTATGTAAAAAAATACAGAATGGTGCAAGATATGTCAAAGTCTAGGCAAGACATTAATGTCTTTACCTTTTATGCTGACAATGAACAAAGCCATTTGCAGCCAATGAGGATTTTGTGCTTTCAGGCAATGCAGCACAATTGAATTATTGCAGTCTGGCCTGCTCTTTCTTCTAGCTCTGAAGCATACCACCTATTTATATCTCAGCCAATAAAAGGTCCCAGAGTTCTTGGCAAGCTCTTTATTAATAGAAAAAATAAAGACATAAAGAAACATTTTTTCACAAGGAGTTATAAATATTGTGCATATTTTTATTCTGTGAAAGGATTGATAACCACCAGCAGAACCTGGAGGATGAGGGGCCAGGAAATCCTTGAGTTGAAAAAACCTTACAGAATTGCATTATGTTTGAAATAGATATTTTGCCAAATAAAGACATTTTCTACAGTGCAGGGAAATAATTTTTGCAACTTTTTAAATGTAATCTTCATTTCATGTACTTCAGCAGTGCATAGAGTTTATGGCACAACCAGTTTCTAGAGTGATTACCACTCAGAGCAGTTGCAGGCCCTTACTGATCATGAAAGACAGTTTTTTGAAACGTCTGGGCAAAAATACAGATGTGACTATTTAAAGCCTTTTCAGGTCTACAAAACACCAGTTTCTTTACAGCATGTTAATATTTAGACCTGGGGGAAAAATTATTAGCACTAGGTAGAGAAGGCGATTCCTATTTGGAAGGAAGTTCCAGCATTTTTAAACCCTCAGTGGAAGTGAGTGGAGCCTCTGCAAGGCCTGGGCTGTGGCTGCCAGACCTGGTGCAACTGCAGACCTTGGAAATGTGAGTCCTTGGTTCTCTGCTGTCAGAGACCTCAGGGGATTGCCAAGGAGTCTGGCAGCTTTCTGCCACTCTGAGACTTTTTCCTTTAATTTCAGTCTTTGTTAAGCTTTAAATTTCCCTTCTTGTTGAAGCTGGTTTTTTAAGGCTTAGCAGCCAATGCTAGAAATTGTGTTTAATTATGTTAAAAACTGTTTTCTCCATGCTATCAAAATTTTTCCTATCCTGCAAGTCCAAACAATAATTGTAAAAGTCAGCATGCTAAGATGCTAATATTTTGTTGCATGTGTAATCCTATTTTGGTAAGTGCAGCTTAAGACTCGCTGAATTCCTGTAATTAGCTGAAAAAAATTGTGTCATCAGAAAAAAAAGGCAATCCCCAGTTTGTTTCCTGTTAAGTAGCCAGTGCTTTCCTGGCAGTGTCAAAGGGGCCCAGATCTCATGCTCAGGTGCCCCATTACAATTTTTATAGCTGCTGTGTCCAGAATAAGTAGTTAGAGAGAGCCTTCTTACCAACCCAGGATTTGTGCATATTCAGTTGTATCTCAGGTGTAAAGGGGAGTGTGAAACACAGACCTGACCATATTCAGTTGATGTCCAGTTACCAAACTGCCAAATGGGCATTTCAGAGTGGGTTGCCTCAGTCTCTGTTCATGGATGACTGTCTAAACATCCCAATTGGAAAGAAAATGTGTAGCCTGTTGAAGGAAAGACAAGCTGTTTTCTTAAGGGACATTTGGAAACAAATCAGGTTGTGGATAAAAGAAAAGAGTATTCAACTTGAAGAGTGGCAAGGAAAGTGGAGTAAGAGTTTTGTTTCTTTTTAAGTAACGTAGACCTTTTATATTAATAATCTGTTTTTACACACTTAACACAGCATATAGACAACAATGCTTAGGCTAAAAAGATCCAGGGAAAACTACTTCTTTTTGTGGGGAGGGTGGGTGTAATAGAGTATGTGGTATTTTCTGTGTTTTGGATTGTTTGTTTTGTTTCATTTTCAGTTTAAATGAGTACTGGGAGGTCAATGGAATGACTAGTTGTTACTGGTAGTAGGATGCCTGTGTGTTATGTTCCTCTTTCAGGCTATGGGGGTGTATCTCTATGGTGAATTAATGGTGAATGAAGATGCAAAACAACAAGAACTTGCACGTAAAAGCTTTGCCTCAGCACAGGAACATATGGATGTGTCCTCAGCCAAAGTGGTGGCAGAGATGTTGTTCTGAAGAGGTGATTTTTCATTTTAATCTAAACACCCTGATTTTGCTTCATAAAGAAAGAACATGCAGAGCTCACTAAACTTTGGCATACTGTGCTGCCTGGGGCTGCTCAGGTCGAGAAGTAACTCTTGTTAAATATCTTGTTGGGTTTTTTTCTTTTTTTTAAGCCCAGTTGCAGGAGCAGTGAGTGACACACATGTAGGCACCAGCTGGAGAACAGGCCTTGTTGTAAATGTTGTAATGGACTATACAAGAGGCAACTGTAAGTCCAAAGGGCCAAGGAAGGCCAGGCTCTGCCTGCAGTTGTTTCCCATTCTGTATTAACAGTGCTTACAGACGTTGCAGTTGTGCAAGGAGCATTTCTGTTTAATGGAGCTGCCTGTTTACTTGGTAGGCAGCACAGTCTTTGAAAAGAGTCTTATCCCACAGTGGAAATATGAAGCTTTGGGCTTGAAAGCAAATCTGAATTATTTGGAAGCAAGCTGATAATTCAAATGTTTTTGTGTTAAGGGTAGTGAGGCTTTTGAAGATTGATTATGAGGTAAGAAGAGTAGCCTTAACATGAAGAAGCTGGCTTGTTTACCAAATTGGTGGGGAGAAATCACCAGAGAAGAAGCAGAATTGCAAAAAGTATTCATGGAATAATTGCTGTAGACTATAAACTGGTAATTTGCAAAGGTGCTTCCCACTTCTCAGTCTGTTTGAGGAGTCAGAGGCAACCTTACAGTGTCCCACGTGCACGTTCAACATACAAGCAATGAATTAAGAGTGGTGTGAAGGTTTCTTACAGCACCTCAGATCTTTGATACAACTCACTCACCCAACAGACTGATTGCCTTGGTTGTTCATGTAACTTTATGGTTAATTTGTGGTATCAAAATTCAGGCATCTAATTTAGCAAAATCATCATCATCTAATTGGTACCAAGCAGAAATCTCAATTTTCTCCTGTTTAAGCAGTATTTGACAGTGATTTCCACTTGATTTCTTGGGGTTTACTACATTTATATGAAATACAGCAAATGACAGGTTCTATGAAAGCAAGTGCAAGTTTGTTTATGAAAAGCCATGTTATTCTTCTGTATAGACAGGAAGTGTGCCTGCCAAGAAAAATTTTTGGGAAAGGTGGATCAGACTGTAGAGTGCCAGGATATCAGTTGTGGAGTAGGGGAGCCACCTTTTAAAACAGGTACAGCTCAGAGACTCTTGTCTACTCCCAGTTCCCAAGGACTCACAGGAATTTGAGTTACGTTCAACAATTCTTAATCTGTGAGATGTCTTCTAGTGAAGGCCACCTTCTGAAGGCCAGAAACATGGAGATGCAGTTTGTTCTGGTACTACTGTACTAGGAACTGACTTCTTATAGTTCCTTCAATAATAAAATCAAAATTTCTACAAGCTTCTGATGGTAAGTACCTAGCACAGGAAGATGACATGGTGTGTCTGTGTGAGCAATAGTCTAGAATCGCCCCTTGGACTTTCCAGACAGACTAGAAGTGTGTGATGAGCTGTGACATAAAGTCTAAAGATACTGAGTCCAATACTCTGTGTGACTGCTCCATTTCCTTTTAATGTTGTGGCTGTTTGGGTTCCTGGCATGATGATTTGTGATTTAAGATTAAAATCACATTGCCAGGGATTACCACAGAGCCATGACCGCAGCTGCTAGCATGAACCTCACCATAACTGTCTGAACCGTGCACAGCGTGGAACCCTCTCCAGCCAGGAAACAAAACTAAACCAAAAAAAAACCAAACCAAAAAAGAGGAGAGCAGCAGAGCATCACAGAAGACCCTTCTCCGAAAATGATCTCTGCCGAGTCGGAGACCTCTCTGGTGAGGTGCAGAGCTTAGCTGATTGGTGAACAGTGATTGTTTCCCTCTTTGTTCACAGTGGCTAAGTTCTGCACCTGAGGAGAAAGGAGAGGAGACTCTGTGCAGGGCAGAGAGTGTTTGCTGGCTGAGATACCTTGCTGCTGGATGGGTAGATTTGGAGTGAATGCATGTGTGTGAGGTTCAGTATATGGAGGATAAGAGGCAGAGGTGACTTAGGGAGGACCAAAGACTTTTAGCTGAGAATAAACAGCGCTCCTGAAGTTCTCAGTCTGACTGCAAGCGTAAGGTGTTGCCTACAGTAATTTGGTTTCCATCTTCCCTAAAGGTCAGAGGAAATACTGTCTGTGACTTTAAGCTGAAATTGTCAATAAAGCTTTGTTTTATAGTCTTCTCTTTAATGGATGCTGTCCTGCTCTCTCTGCAGTTGTAGTTTAGTCTGTGTGTCATTCGCAGGAAACGGTGGCAGCTCCAGTCGGACACCACTGACGGTGCTGCTGTTGTTCCAGGCTGTGGATGGACCCGTCCTCCGGTGCCTACTGAGCTGATATCAGTTCTCATTTTACACACTGGCTCAGTTCAGCAGGAACAGGAGTCGAGCCCTAGAGCAAAAAAAGCTGTACCTTTTCTAGGAGCCGTTGAGAAATGTTGGTGCCGTTTTCTCTCAGAAAATGCCCTGGTGTACATTGTGATGTCCTGAAGTTAAACACTGAATGGCCTGAGGTGGAAAAGCTGCCTCAGTACTGTTTAGAGAACTGTGTGTGGTTATGTAGCACATCACACAGTATTGTTCTGGGAACTTGCCTCCAACATCATGTTCAGAGTAACCTGCTAATAAGCAAGAGAATATGGTTCCACCATGAACCCTCCCCATCCTCCCCAGCCCCTGTGGTAGCTCAAGGACACTGCAGGGAACAGCAGTTCTTAACTCTGCAGCCACAGCCACTCTCTGCTGGTAACCTGGAAAACAACTCCTTTTGGAAAGCTGGGGCAATCAAGAATGCACAGATATTCCTTCACCGTGGCAGAGTAATAACTTTAAATGCTGTTTCCGTTGCAGGAAAGATCACAGAGAAACCCTTTTAATAGATCTGCTTCTAAACCCCGATGGTACTGGGATTTGACTGACCCGGAACATCAAAGGAAGGATTTTGTGACTGCTAAAACAATCATTTGACAGAAATATTTACCTTTCTGTATTTCCAGAGGCTCACTGTAACTGAGACCACATGCACACAAAAACTACACACACACGTGTTACTCTGGCTTTAGGTGATCCTTTGATTCAAGACATTTGGGGTTTGCAGATTCCAAGGGCTCTTGATTTGAACAATTTATGCACTGCAGTAATTTGGAGATTCTGAAATTTGATTAAACTGTATTGTATACTTCTTTGTCATATTAAAAAATGCCTCACATAAAATCAGCAGGAGCTGGGATGGGACTTGGGAGATTAAGTAGAAGCATAAATAATCTGTGGAAAGTGACCTACCATCATCCTGGTGAAGGGATGGGACTGAAGGAAAAACAAAGATCAGCATTTTCTCTCTGTGATGTTTAGGTTAAATTTTACCAGAAATGTCAGCCCTGTTTTCTGAAAGTGTCTTTTATACCCCTGTGCTGCTCCTTTTGCACAGTGATATGTCAATTTTAGCTCTTCTTTCCTGATCAGTGGAGCACTACATTTCTAGAAGACATTTTAATTGGTCCTTTCAGAGAGTAAGAATTTAAAACACAAAAATCTGTGAACATATTTCCTTTGTACTCTGTTGTTTTACATAAAATGATCTTGTAAAAATAAATATTTTTTTTCAAGTATGTCTAGTTCTTTCCACTGCACAGTGGTTCAGCATTCACAAACTTGGGAAAAAGAATGACCCCATTTCTGGTTTTGCAGCAGGAGAAAAGCAGCTGAAAGATGTTAGTTAATGGATATTAACAAGAAAAATTCAATGTGGTAATTTCTTTTAAATTTTTGTTCTCAGCATCTAAAGTAAGAGCCTTCCTCATCAGTGACTTCAGCACAAAGAGTACAGTTCCTTTTCACCTCACCACGTTTTCTGACCTCTCCCTTTCCAGGCTTACAGTGTCAAAACCTGAGTGACGGGATACTCAGCGAGTTCTTTCAAGTGCAGCAAGAGTGAGGAAATTGTCCAAGAATGGCCCAGACACCACACTGACTTCTGTGGTCACAGTCAGAGATGGAGCTCTGACAGGAGCCCATTCAGAAAAGAGTTCTGCTTCATTTCACAGGTTTTTCTGCAGAGGCCACCAGCTTGCTTTTTGCTTTTTCCATTGTGTTTTAGGGAAAAAACCCAGAGCTGGATAAGACTCTTGCATAAGACACACAGAAATAAAATACACTGCAAGCCTCTTCATAGCCACTCCTGTTAAAACTACTGGGCGAGTAAGGCACTCCTCACCTCTGTAAATATCATCACATTTGGTTTCTTTCAAAACAAGCTACTTGCATTTTTTGTTAATATTGAGCACAGCAGTAGTTTGTTCTGTTTGCTGCAGCTGTTCCAGTCTGTCTCAGCAGTATTAACTTGAATATTTCCCTCACCACAACTTTGTGATCCATCATTCATGGTAGCAACTGAGAAAATGAACAGAAACTAAAACACTAACACCAAACAACCTAAAAAAATGGCAAAGAGGTGGCAATCTTGGCCCTTTATCAGGTTTTATAGGGCCTTTTGTTGCTAATCCAAGCACTGTGAAATACAGTAAGGCTTCAGATTAGGAAGAAAACTAAAGGCAGCATTGAATAGTTCTGTGACTTACTCATCATGAGTAAGAGATAATAGGAGATTCATGTATGTATTATATAGTAGGGTCATTATCATGATACAAGCATTTCCTTAGTTTAAAATCCTTCTGAATCATGAAAAAACCACTGGAAGTGAGCCACAGACTGTCATTTAACTATTTGAGTTTTTAATAGGCCCCACTGAAAGCTTAGCAGAAAAAAACCAATGTTACTCATTTTACTCAAGATTTTACTCTCCAGGTGGGTGTTTCTATGTTATTTCCCTGAGCTGTAGGCTCTAATTGTAGTAAATAAGTGAACAAAAAAAACCCCAAACATTTCCAAACTTACTGTAACTAAAATAATTATTGGAAAACATGTTTTATCAAATGATCCCTCCATCCAGGAATCGGAGTCAGTGATCTTTGTGGGTCCCTTCCAACTCAGTGTATTCTGTGATTCTACAATCCAGAGCTGACTGTCAACACAGTAAAATCCAATGGAACTGCACAGTTGTTGTTTGTTCTTAAGCACAGTCAGGCTTTTGGGGCCAGTGGCAGAAATGTAACAACATTAAATGGGCATTTGGAGGTGAACACTTAAGACCTGAAGTCTGGTGTCCATTGCCATGTCAGTGTGTGTGACTGTGACAAACACAGACACCCCTGGAGGTGGCTTCTGCTCTACTTATGTTTCATTCTACCTCTGTTTCATAGTCAGCCCTCTCTGAATAAAATACACCATTTTGTAAGGGTGGGTTTTTGAGGGTAAGGCCCATCCCTAACTCAGTCTTCTCCAAGCACAGTGGCAATTCTACCCTGAATAGCACTAGAAAGTCCAGACTATCTCCCACTTATCCCATCAGGCCACCATCTGGTTGGGATCAGGGTGATTCTTTTCTGGATGTAGCTTTTAACTGTAAAAATGAATCTCAGATGAAATTAAAACTGTATCCATACAGTTAGGCAAGGGTCACCATCTATTGTCCTGTGCCACTTACTGGGTCACTTCTTCAGAATAAAGGCAGAGCACAACAAGGGGTGACCTGGCAGTCCCTTGGCCCCACACAGGACATGAATTCCTGGGCACACATGTTCTCTTCCAAGCCCAGAGTGACACAGACCACTCTGCTGACAGCTTTGTTTGCTCTGCAGCTTTGCTGGGAGGTGTTTGCAGCTGCTGCTGTCTCTATGCTTTCTCCTTTAGCAGGGAATTAGCTGTACCCTATTGTCCATTCCTCACACACAGTGGGGAAGGGAAAAGGTCTGGAAGCAAATCTAACCAGAAATGCAAACTGAGCGAGTGGGCAGCTTGAGGAAACAAGAAGGCTTACTAAGCCTAAAGAAAACCCTATTCCACAACACTGATTCTTAATATCTAAATGCAAATTAATAAATCTCTTGGTCTTTATAATGAATCTTGTGGTCTTTTAAAGCTGTAAAATATCTAGAATTCATGAGTTATGTTTGATGTCTTCCATAACAGGAAAAGATTTTAACATACACCTGAGTGCATTTCTGTTCTTGCCCCCAGTCTTTGATGCCTAGATTAGTAGTAAAATAAATAAATAAATAAAAATAATAAATTGCAAGAAAGGACAATGAAGCAACTAAATAGAGGGGCCTGACTCATCTAGAATTTCACCACAAGTATACTGAGTTTAGGCACATATACAAAATACTTTAAGTGAACATAGACACTGACATGGATATGTTCCTTTGTTTCTGTGGGCTCAATATGCTGGAAAAATTATTTTAAAACTTACCCTGCTGCCAGGCTGGCATCACTGAAATATGCCAGTGCACAAAGAAATTGAGACATCTGTACACTGCTTGGGAGATTAACTTCATTTGTGTGCTTGCTGTGGCTTAAACTGAGTGCATATTTTCTGCACAAAATTAAGACCTGATTCCTGGTGCTTATAGCTGCCAGCACAGGCATTTGCTCTAACTATTACCTGAAAGCATGCAGAAATTGCAGTTGTGTAAAGATTTGCTTTTGCATGGTAATTTATACATCAGGAAACAGAACTTAATTTTCAGCTGAGCACTGCAGTGTATTAGCAAAGTACCCCAACAGCACCACCATGCAAAAGCCTGGTTTGCTTTTTGCCCCACTGTGGCCATGCCAGCTCTGCTGGTTTTGGCACCCTCTGAGCAGCAGCTGAACATCACTGCACACTTTGTTTAATGTAGCTCACTTCAGTCATCTCTGAAAATTCCATGTCTGACTGCTCCAGGCTATTCCTCTGGGCCTGCTGGGACCTGTGTCTCTCCTGACACTCACTGTGGGACATTCCATTCATGAGCCCGTGGCTGCTTTGCCACTGTCATCATCCCCAGCCCTCCTGACTCCCTCTGAACAGGCTGCTTTGAGAAGCTGGTGTTTGGCACCATAACATATTTCACTTCATCTTTAATCTTGAAAGGACAGGGGTCATCATCTGCCACACAGAAAAAACCTTTTTTCTTTTGTTTTTTAACCTCAGGTTGTTACATCACAGCAATGTGTAACTCTGTTTGGCAGTTGTCTTGTATCTGGTAGTAAGAGTTATTTGCTTTACAACTGTACCCCCTTACAGCCAACTCCTGCAAATACAACAAAACTAAAAATTACAATTTGCCAGCAACCATCTTACTCCAGTCTGCATCTGTCTCTTGGTGTGCCCCAAACTCACCTATTTAACTGCCAAACAGGACCAATCAAAGTTCATTCCAATTTACTCAATTTCACATCTGAAAAACACTATTACTTTTTCTTGTTCCCTAACTCTAGGGAACCTCACTGCCCCTCATTCTGCCTTTCACATGCCCCTTCAGCCAACATTTCCCTACATGTCCTACAGCCCTGGCATCCTCCTTAATTTCTGTTCCCAGAAGTGACATGGCAATATTACTCCACAATACTGACATCAAGATTTTGTCATTGCCACCACTCGAGCTGAAACTGCCCATCATTATCATCTCTTGTTCCTTTTGACTATACAAAGGCTTTTTAATAAGCTCCCAATTTTAGTTGAGGGAAAAAATTGTCTCTCTTGGCTTGAATATAAAAAAGATGCAACTACATGACATAAATGCTGAACTCTTTCCTTCTTTGCATGAAGAGTCAGATGAATAATCACAAGACTGTCAGTTTTATGCACAAACAAGAAAGCCCATCTACTGACATTTTATGGTTCCTACACCCACCTACCCCTAGCATTTGCCTCTCCTTTCTTCAGTCAAATCACAGGAATAACAAGTTTCCCACTTGACAGCTGGGAGGAAAGAATGGGAATGGGGAATCAGTCATACTAAGAAAATAGTAAGACCAGTCTTTTTTAGTTCTGAGGGTACCTGATTCTCTCTTTTACCAGCTGAAGGAGAGATGTGACACTGAGAAAAGCTCCACACAGCAGAACAAAGGTAAATGCTGGAAGTTGGTGTATTTTTAGCATATTTTTGCATCAAGAGCTTTCAGCATCAAAACCACAGGCTTGTAACATGCAAAACCCAAAATCACCAAAAATTATACCCCTCTCTGTCTTGAAATACAGCTGTTAAAGACTGTGGTTTCTGATTATGTTTTAGAGGTGGTGAGGACCCACTGCTCCCAGTGCAGTCAGGAAGGAGGAGCTTGCTCTGTGAATGTCTGAAAACTCGGAGCTAAACTGTCTTTCAGATTCACAAAAGAAAACTGAATTGATAGGAAAATCATGGAAGTGGCACAACAACAGGATGTCACATGGCAATCCTTTTCATATTTTCTTTAAATAGATGTGGATTGCCAGACTCTGCAATGCATTTTGAAGAACTGTCCCAAAGTGGAGTTAAAGTTTAAGTGGTGGACAGTTACTGGCCTGTTCAAATGCATGATTTTTGAAGCAGAGAGGAGACAGCATCAACACCAAACTCTCTTCTTCTTTCATTTCTCTCTGATAACAATTAAGTTTGCCAAATCTGAAGAAATCAGAGCAGGGAACAGCTGACTTACAGACTGCATGGTTAGGTGTAAGTATATGAGTGAAGGATCTCAGTAGAAAAAACAGATATTCAACCCATGTGTGATTTTATATGCAAGTTCTTCAACTTCATTCTACAATGTTTATGTAAGTTCAGGGTATTCCATTCTAAAAATAAAACCACCACCAACAAAAAAGATAAACTGACTAGATCTACCATTTGTACATTCATCTTGGATCCTGGGCAGAAAGGAAGAGAAGAAAAAAAAAGGTAATGCTTCTGCCTGAAGAGTAACCATGTCTGAGAGCTTGCTCTGCCAATCCAGCAAGCAAAGAAATCAAGATCAGAAAAACTATGATGAAAAATAGTCAGCAGCTATCATCTGAAACCTTTAAATCCCAACAGAATTATCTTTCCAAAACAATTGTTATAGCTCAACTGCAAGGTTTGGGCTTGACATTTGCTCAGTGTCCACTCATGGCCTGGGTCAAGCCAGTCAGAGAAAGCAACTGCAGCAATTCAGTGTGGCCTGGGAGGTGTGTGGTGCAGGGTATTGCTGAGCACTGACCACTGTGTTCTAGCAGAGAAGCACAAAAGAAAGGAAGGTTGAAACTATCATGTGAAACTGTTATGTGGGTTTTGCAATGCATTTGAAGAAGAAAATCAGTGGTTTATAGAGACAAGATTTGTCCTTCTGTCATGCCTCCAGAAAAGACAGTAATGGTTCTGCCTACTGGGAATCCCCAAAGTGCCTGAACTTGCAGACACACATCATGGCCATATTCCAAGGCCTCACTCCTCCTCCATGGAATGTAATACTGGCTTTTCTCTCTCTGTTCACAGGCATCTGAAGCTGACGTGGAAGTGCAGCACAGTCATGAGATTAAAAGCACTTAAACACTTACTGGTGGCTTCTACAGGGAATGACAGTGCACAGGGGAAATTGAATCTTCAAGCTACCATTACAAGTTGGTTTGAAATAAAAAAGCTGAAGTCCTGTTTTCAGAAAACTTACAGATAGTAGAAGTCATGGCATCATCAGTCAAAACCAACAAAAGTTGCTTTCTCATATGTGAAATATTAACAGAACTTCTAACAGTAGTAGGCACATGATATATTGCAAGAACCTGTTTTGGAAGCCTCGAAATAAACTCACAAGCTAAGAAATAAAATCAAAGGATCAAGGAGTGAGTAAACTGTACATACAGGCTAACTGGCACATACCCATGGGAAATCTCAAAGACAGTGTATTTCAGTATGTTTGGTCAAGAATATGTAAAAACATAATCTCTTCAAGATGTCAGTGTGCATCTGCAGAAGTTCATGGGCCTAACAGATATTTTTATGGAAAAGGATAGAAAAGAGAGGGTCATTGTTCCTATCATCTCACCTAATCTCAGAGGGGAAAAAGGGTTCTAGCACAGAAGCCGGTGGGGCTCAGTGACAGAGCTTTAAACTATCTTGGCTGGGGGAAAGGGACAAAATTTGTATCACAAGGAAAAACTGTATCACAAACTTGCCAGAGGAGTGGACCTCATATGAATACTGCTATGAATTAAGTGTGGGATGCCTCTAGCACTACAGTGGTTTAACTACTGGTGTTGCCCAGCAAAACATGTAGATTGCATAACGAAGTCATTGCAGACTATTGGGAAAGTATAAAAACATGGATGCAAACACATGCTCGGTGTTCTCATGGAGGACTCCTCCCAGAACAATCCAGGGGTTGACTTTTCAAATGTGGGTCTAGTAGGAAACTACACTTCCATGTTACAAATTATCACCTTTCTACACACTTCTTATATCACAAGAAAAACTGCATTTTAATTAGCATGGCATTTTTAGCATGAATTACGTATTCACTTACTACTTATTCACAGAGAACATGAGTATTTTATTCTGTTGTTAGATAATACAGCAACAAAATGGAGTAAACCTGGTTTAACAGTGTTTGTTTAATAACTGCAAGTAATTTTTGCTAGATGTTTTATCATAAACTTGTATAATGCTAATTTGGTATTGTACCAAACCAAACACACCACACTGGCATGAATTTCAGCTTACCAAAACTAATATTATCTCACTTGCATCCTCAGACTGTTTATTAACACCTCTTTGCACTTACAATGCTGTGAGTACAGAAACTTAATCACAAACCCTAGAAGTAACTGATTAACATGTTACTGCTGGTCAGCTAAACTGCAGTATCAGACAAGATACCTGTTCCTATAATACATCTCAAAATGAAATGTGTTCTGCTTTGTACTGGCACTGTACTGAGATATGGATTAAATGAAAGCCATAGACGTGGTCTTTTTTTTTTTCCCCCTGAAGAAAATCCACAGAAATCACCTGGCCCCATGCTGGCAAGCTTGCAGAATTCAAAAAGCTGTAACTTAGCAGCCTTAGACTGGAAAGAAGCATAATCAACAAGGAAGTAAAATTTACTGTCTGTGTTCTTATTCAAAGCAATGCCTTGAAGCAGAAGGATTTTGAACAGTTCTCTGTGCTCAGTGCACATCCACAACCAGGGTGTGACCTGGAGACAGAAGGCCAGGGAATGAGCTACTGGAAGCCTGATTTCAGAACTCGTTGGCTGGTTCAGCATAAAAGTACAACCCTGAGGGCTCCAAGGAACATTTACAGAAAGCAGCAATTACAGAGGAGAAGATGCACATTGGATGGGCAATGCAGGAGCCATGACATGAGAAATCCTCCATTACTCAGATCTGCCAAATCACCACTGCCTTCCACTGGCAAACTAAAAAAAGTAGCTTCAACATCCCACAAAATCACAGCTTCTATCAAAGTTAGATCATAATTCAAGCACTGTGAAAGAGCAAGGAAAAAGAAAAAACAAAGATTTAGAACAGCAATGCTAAATATAGCAAGAAGAATGCCAGTACACATGCATCTGTTTTAAGTTACAGAGAGCATCAATTAGGTTTCTTCCTTAAAGCCTCCTGAAACGAGCAAACTCTCCTTATAATATTTAAATCATGCAGTATTTCTTAAGAAGCCAAACACAGGAAAATGAGAATGCACCAATTCACTACTGATTTTGGGTTTTTACTGCATTCACTGCACATTTCCTTCCTCTTGAATTGACTTATCCCTATTTATCAGGATATTGATTTTTATATAAGAATGTTAGAAGAATTTTCATGCATTTTTTGGTGGAAAAATAAAAGACAATACACTGAAAAGACACAAAAACTCCCCTCCAAAAAGTGTAATACATATCTAAATATAATACTCATATCATCCACCTAACTAATGTGCAAGAATCATGTATTGCAATTCTTTGCCAATCTTTCTAAGTAGTTAATATTACATATAGGCATACTATGGAGAACAGATAACCAAAGAGCCCACATCCAACAACCAGATTAGAAATTAAACAAACAAAAGAAAAATCATTGTTCCTTTGGATTAAAATTTTAGATTATTTATCATTCTAGGTTGAGACTCCACAAGTGTTTCCACTAGACAAATACCTCAAGAGTTTGTGATCAACAAATAATTTAGCAGAATCCCAATGCTTTTCAGGTATGGTGTTCAGGGAACAGAAAACTAGGTTGCTTGATTTTGCTTTTTTAGATATGTATGGCTATCAAGAACAGAAAAATTGCAACATATCCTTTCTGAATTTTCATTTTGAATCAAAGGGAAAAAACCCCTTCCTTCACAAACACACATTATTTTACTTCACTATTAGTGAAGTAAAAGTATTTGCTTTTACTTCACTAGCAAACCCATTGAGAGGGCATGTAACCCCTGTGGGATGACTCACTAAGAACAAAATTGTAAGAAATCAGTCAACAGCATTACAGAAAATATCTTTCCACAGCCAAGGGACACTAAGTACATCGTTTTTCTTTTCCCTTGCTCAAAAACAAATGTTACATTCAAAAAGCTGTATTAATTCAAGATACATGACTCTGATTTTATATGCAAGAACAGTTTTCTGAGTATCTTTCAACACAGCACAAGTTTTGGCATCAAACCTAAGTAACACACTAGAACAAACTAACTGAGGAAAGTTGTGATCCTCTGTTATTACTATTCTGCATGTTTATTTTTCTGATTAAGCTAGGAACAGGTTCACAAAACTTCTTGGGACAAATACTTCCCCAAAGGTAAAAAAGTAAGCCTTTGCTCCCTATTTGTGCTCTTTGTAGGAGACAAAAAACCTAAACAAAGAAGGAAGCAAACTACCTCTGGACACAAAAATGAAGGCAATGATTTGCACCCATATGCTCCTTTTAGGAAATTTGGCCCTCAAACTGGAAAACGTCCTTATGTCTCTGTTGTGCTTGCCCTATTTTGTCTGAATAAAAGAAAAGATTCCTTGAATGACCAACAATAACATCAGTCATGGCACACTGTTAAGTGGGCTCTATTGCAAGCAATCTTTACCTGCAGTATCTGCTGACAAAGACCAGCTATTGGAATAGTACTTTGCAGGGAACACTCTCCCGTGGAAGCTGCAGTACTGAAAAAAACACATTTAGCAAATCTGGAAGAAGTTTCATTTTGGAAACTAATGTCGCGACGGAAAGCTCTAGACACCTCAATATGAGAATCCAGGAACTTCGTTTATTATAGATTGACAGTAGCTTAATATACACTCTATACTAGGTTCATGAATATTACAGAAATCAGGCTCATTATTGGTACTCGGTTAGGTGGTGATATCATCTTAACTGCTTTCCACTGTTTACACAGGTGGCTCATTAAGTGCCTTTGTTTTGGTAATGCCTAGCTCCTGTTTTTCAGCTCAATTTAGGATACCCAAGGACACTGCCGCTTTCTCACGGCCCTGCTATCTCAAACTTTCTCATGGGCCTAGGGAAACTGCTTATACTTTAGCAGTAGTCTTATACTTTAGCAGCTCATCCATAGCCTTAGCCATGTTCATATGTCCTCGCATTTCTAACCAATCCTCTACAGGAAACATTTTCAGAAAGAAGGAAAGAGTTCAGGAAACGTCGCTGACTTCCTGAGAACGTGGAGTACCTTCACCATGAATCACTCGAGACCATCGTGGGTTTCATAAAAGCAAAATTATATAACAAAACATTTTAGGAACAACTTACCAATCAAACAATTGGATATGGTTTGCTTAAAAAAAACCCCACATGTGTGATTTGGGAGAAAAACTGATCCTCAGCCAGATAAGCAACAAAGGAGATGAGTGAACTGCTTTAACTGATTGTAGGTCTCATGTTACAGAAGATGTTCAGAACAAAATTTTCAACTATTATGTTTCAAAAGATTAATATTTCCAAACAACAGGTTATTTTAATATATAGGTGAGGGAATAGGAAATTAGGAGATATGCTTATGTATGTGTCTCTCTACCCTTAGTAACCTGCGGTGCAAGATGCTAATGGAATTCTGACAGTAATAAATATAGATAAAGATCTGATTTGTTGGCTTGATAAATAGATGATATTAAAAATCTAAACTTTCAATGTAAATTTTTGAAGAAGTTCATTCAGCAGCTTGACAGTCCTCTGGTTTCCTTCTCCATGATGTTTAAATCTGTATGCAGTACGGAGAAGAAGGCTATAAACTTCCTTGCTTGTATCAGTTGTCTCAGTAATCTGAAGGAAAACAGAGAAGATGGGACATAATGCAATTATGTTGCTAAATACTAAAAATTCTCCATTAATATTTACAACAAAACCACAGATTTGTCCCTCACCACTGAACATGTGAGAAGCAACTTCTGCCCAAGGCATCTCTTTTCATTCACCTTAGTGGAACTGAGCAACTTTGAGATTTTCTACTGTTCTCTCAAGTTTAAGTGAAACAAATCAAGAGGTCAGAAACTATTTAAAGGAAACACAAATGGATAGACAGTGTAACCATTTCTAAGTTATCTCCAGAGAAAACAACTAAAAACACATGAAGGTTCTGCATGTGTTTGGGGAGACAATTCAATTCTGTAAAGTTTTCAAACGTAAAAATAAATCCCTCCCCCAGAAGATGACAGAATACCAGGGAAAGATCCTAAGCTGCAATTTTTGCAGATCAGGAAGGACTTTACTCCTTGTTATCTGCTGTGTTAAACCTGAAGTTTACTATGCTAACCAAAACCACAGCCATGCACCCCAAATTAGTTCGACACCATTCTGCCTTTCATATATTGCCTTCAGTCCTTTTCAAATCACATGGAGAGCCTTGCTACACATTAATGATTATACAGATACAGTCAAAATTAATTAGATTGACAAACTCTGGCCTACAAGAGCTCACAACCACCCTGCACTCAGTTTCGAAAGTTATGTTGCTTTCTATGAAGAAGCAAGAGATTGCCTTTGGTCTTTCTGAAGAGGTTTAAAGTCACAGGCTAGTACATTGCAGCATCACAGCTCAACAGCTGCACTACTCAAAAGAAACTAGAAATAGCAGACTGTAAATATACATATCCCTCCCCCCAATTTTATCACTGTATTCTTATGCTAAGAAAAAAGTTGTTCATTTTTAAACTTGCACCTAAAATGTGAGAATTATCTTAGCCCTTCCTAAACAGAGAAATGTTTTGTCTGTTTACTCAGATAGTTGTATCATAAAATCAGATGCCTTACACATGCCATATACCCTATAAAAATAGAAGAGCACTCTGCTGCTGAAAGGAAAACCCTTTGGAAGTGTTAAAACTACACGCTGGCCCTAGATGTGCTTGCACAGGAGTCGTGAACTTCTTCAAAGAATATAGTTTTATAGTTAAGAAAGAATTCTTAATCTCACACTGAGATAGCACTATCTTAAGAGACACAAACACATTTTGAAGTTTGCACCAATATTCCTGAAGGCTGTCATCAGCAACAAGAAGATACTGTGGCAAGCTTCCAACCTTTTACTCCTCTTCAGCTTTTTTCACACCCTAAGAGACACTGTCTGAGCTCTTCGTTCTTTCCTTCTCTCTCAGTTACCACACTGTTCTCCTCATTGGCTTTGCTAAAGCACCAGGTTTCTCTCACATCAATGCTAACACCTAGTAACCACCTGTTCTACCTAATGGAAAACAGTGAGAAGACAGTTTCATCATCTCTGCAGTAGCTGGATAATTTAGGGAGTGATTTATAATTGGAGAAACAACGTTTGCACATGCTGTCTTGCTATATGTAAATGAACTGTAGCTATCTCTTAACTGCAAGCTACTATTTCAACTGTTTCTTTATCTGTATAGTCAGGACAGCAACCTTTTCAGTGAGATCTTATCAAGAAGTGAATGGAAAACATATTGACTGTAGCTGAGGTAGATTTGTAGCAGGTTGGGTATAGCTGCTGTAGTCATGGTCTTCTGTAATTCTCTGTGTTTTCTGTATTGAAAGGTAGAAACTTAAATCCAAAATAGTAAGATTTATAACCTGAAAAAACAGAAAGAAGAAACACTCACATGGTAAATACATTCCTGGGCAAACGAATGTCCACCAGATGAAAAGAGCAAAAAGTTGGTCAGAAGATGTGTCATGAGATGCTGGTTCCAGCACTGCTCTGTCCCCATTATCCTGTGCACAGCAGCCTCCAGATCTCTGAGAGAAAGGTCTGTACAGCTGAAGAGCATCATTAGATGATTGTAGACTGCTTGAACTTCTACCTGTAGGAAATAATTTCAAAGGATGCAAGATCCTTTGGGATCTTGCAAGAATCCTTTGGGAAGAGTAAAGGTCAAATCTGTGGTATTTTTCTTTTATATTTATTTGCTGAAAGGAAACTGAATCCTTGGCAGAAACTACCCAAACATGAAAAGAGTTTGAATTTAGCTGGGAAAACAGGGAAGGAAGGGCTGTACACATTTCTTTTATACTGAATCACATACAGAGAGGTGGACAGAATGTTTTTTTTTATTTTCTTTGGTATTACAAATAAAGCAGACAGGCATCAAGCCAGGATTTTACCTTTAATAATTTAAGGAAATGGAGAAAATCCCTCAGCAGAACATGGTCAGATTTTTGCACTGTGGGAAAAAGAACAGAGGCTCCTCAAGGGCTCATTTCAGCATTGCTGCTATAAATCACTTAAATCCTCATGCAACCTGACCTCAGCTGATAAAATGTTCTGGTAAGAATGAAGTTTTTTCCTTCTTCCTGTGTTATTTGCAACTTATGTTTTTATGTTGTGAGTTAACCAATAAAACCTAATTTTTAATGAAAGTAGGAAACAGAAGATTTTGGCACCTACATAATGGAAAAAAACTATAAGCAACTACTGCAAAAAATCCTAACAATAATTCTGTTCACTGTATTAAAAATGAACCAAACAAACTTGTAGAACAAACACAAACGAGTGATTGCTGGAGCAATGGAAAAACACACCACTGCATACCCAAAGGAAAAGGACACCTGTTTCTCAACTATATTCATTGGGACAATTTGTTTCAGACATTGACCCACCCCTTTAATAATTTCACATCAAACAGTCTGAAAAAGCTGCTATTCTTGAATTAAGTAAGTGCACAAATAATACCAGAATCTACAGAAAGATAACTGGAATTCAGGATTCTTTATCCCCCTGTGCATCCTGTGTGCCAGCAACTGCAGATGGATGGCAGAGCTCACGTACCCCAGGAGTCTCATTCTTAGTGCCAACCTCCAAGTATTGTTCCTTCAACCTTTCAGAACCTAAAGCTATAAAAGGACTCCAGCAAATTCATTGAGAAGCCGAGTATTTAGTCCTGCACATATGAGTGAAGTCTAGTGAACAGCAGAAGTAGTTCCTGTGCCACCTTAATCCTTAACTGGTGAGTGGTGCAGGGGTTCAAGTGGAAACCACTTCATGTGACAGAGCTGAGAGCTAACCTGCCAAAGGACAAATTAAAAAAAAAAGTAAACAGCTAACTATAGGCAGAGGCTTTGCATGAACTGTGGGAATGCCTCTGAAGTGGCCTGACCTATGGGGGGGGGTGTGAAAAAAGGTCTTAGTTCAAGTACCTAAGAAAAGAATGATAATGAACTGAAATATCAGACCTGTGGGAAAAGATGAGTAACTGCATGGGTTGTCAGTAGAAAAGCTCCTTTCTCACTAAAGTTTGTCACATGTTATGACAGAATAACAAACTGATAGAATAGGGGACAGCCAGGGAAATTATTTCCTATATGGGACAAAGGGATTTCATTCTTTAGGGCTGGAGTTAGAACAATACTCCACACACTGATCTGCACCTGTAGTGCTTCCATTTCATCCATGCTTCCATATTGCCTTCCTTCCTAAAACTGCATTCTAAAGCCAGCCCTGACTCCTTTACTTCACCATAGCTCTAACAAAACTCTACTCAGCCAACATACCAGACAATAAGAAACTCAAGAGAAAAAAAATTTACAAGTGGTTGATTGGGATATGATCTTGTGTTTGTAGTGCCATCTGGGTGGTGAGAGGGGGAGGAAAGGAAATAAAATATTGCATAATACACTGTTGTACATGGACCATTAAACATAAAATTAAAACATATTTTACTATTGTTGTGTACTGAGCTGCATTTTTAAATCAAACAGAACCCATTTTCAAATTAAGGAAAACCAGAGAAGTTGCAGCCAGATTCTGAATCTGGGCTTTGTGGATTAGATTGCTTAGGCTAGATCAAACTTGCATAATAGGTTTAAATTAATAGGTTTCAAGTATTTGCATGCACACACAGACACACAGCACTCTCTGTGCAGTGCAGTGCATAAGGTTAGGACACTGTTCCTTCTGTCAGAAACACAGCATATGGGAGTACTACCTACTTATTACATTACATGCCAAAAACTAGTAAGTATATGTAAGAGAAATCAGGATAGGCAAGGTTAGGATTCAAGGCTGTGTCTGATAAGTATCTTTTCTGCTTCAGCTGCTGTGATTTCTTGTGTTTCCTTCTCAGCAGATGTCACAACACAGGAATGCTGGAATCTGCCACACTAATTTAAAAAATACCATCACCAGGGTAGTTTTACTTGTGATTAAAAGCACCCAAAGAAAGCCAAGAAGGTGCTAATCTATATAACATACTTTCAAAAGAGGAATAATGTTTTCTAAATGTCACAAGAAAATTCAAAAACATTATCTTTCAAGTTCTCCACTGCCACAATTCCATGGAGACCTTGTAAAGTCAATACCTTTAATTTTTCTGGTGTGCACTATTTGGTTTATAGTAATAAGAAGATAGACTACTGAGTGCTTATTGCCACTTATTGTCCCTACATCACCCACCATTGCCTGAGTCCTTTGCTGATTTTCATTCTGAGGGCAGTAGTAAAATGCCAGCAGCCACAGCAAAGCATCTGGTTGTAGAGCAGCCTTCAGCAATTGTTCTGCTGCAATATCCAGCCATTCTCCAAAACAAGTAACCAAATACCAGGTTTCAAAAAGGTCAGTGAAAGAACTGGAAAATAATGAAGATAAAATTAAGTATTTCTCATTATTTGACATTTTTAATTATCTTAAGTTAACTGCAAAGGGTGCTGCTTTAAAGGAATCTTTGAACTACTCTTCAACAGACAATGCCTCACCTGCTTTGTACTGTTTACTCTAAAGTCAGGACTTATCTGAAGTGATCAAGTGAGACACACACAGTGCTACCAGAGATTAACTTTGGCAGCAGAACAGACTATCCACAATCCATTATTCTAATAAACTGTGACAAAATACTATGTATGAAAATACATATAATAAAATTAAACTCTACTGTTTATACTCTCCAGTTGAAGGATTTTCTAAACTTTCAATCATATCTCAAGTATTACACTCTAACATACTTTTGCCTTCCACTTTCTCTCTGTTGCTTTCCAGGGTTATTTGCTGGTTTTTGGTAATTTATGGAGCACATCTTTTTTCATAATTCATGAGGAATTACCTTTAGATGGACTAAATACAAAGTTTTAAAGGATATTCATCTCCTGAGTCTTAAAATTCATGTCCTCTTTAATGAAAATTTTGAAGGTGTTTACAACAGGGTTATTGCTGTAAGAAAAGTGAGAATGGACTACCTCTCATCTCTGCAGTTTCTCACATGCACTCCTCTAAAGTTAGAAGAGATTAAAGACAAGAGAAGTAATGCCATGCAAACTAACGGCAGGTGTCTGAAACAAAAAGTTAAGCTATATATGGAAGGACAAACAGAAGGACAGCTAGGAGATTAAGAACCAGGAACAATTATTCCTAACAAATTTTGCAAAACTTGGAATAGACGTTTTTCTTATGTTTTATTCCTAGCGACTCCAAAATTGCTGTGCCACCTTTCCCAGGAAACTCTAAGAGACCTTAGAAATTTCAGGAGTTAATGAAGTTGTCTGAGACCATCACATCATTTGGGGAACATGACAAGGTCATAGCTTTATCTTAACACTTCCCTGTACCATTACAGTGCCTGTTTTGGAGTCATGTACCCTCCACTTCTGAGCCCACTGCTGTTTCTGCCCTCTCTGTATTGGTACCTGTGTCCCACTGTTGTTGCCAAAAGTGGCCCTCTGCTTTTTCTAGACTTGCCCCCACAAAAGGTACCTGAGTTGATTTCTGGTTTAAAATGTCATATAACACTTACTGTTCACTGAGATGACTACATATAATAATAAATCTGTTGATTAGAAGGACATAGAAAGCACTTTGCTGTAAGATTCTTGCCCTGGACTCAGCACTGGTGAGGCCACCCCTGGAGTGCTGTGTCCAGTTCTGGGCCCTCAGCTCAGGAAGGACATGGAGGGGCTGGAGCAGGTCCAGAGGAGAGCAACAAGGCTGGGGAAGGGACTGGAGCACAAGTGCTGTGAGGAGAGGCTGAGGGAGCTGGGGGGGCTCAGCCTGGAGAAGAGGAGGCTCAGGGGAGACCTCCTCACTCTCTGCAACTCCCTGACAGGAGGGGGGAGCCAGCTGGGGGTGGCAGCAGTAGGACAAGAGGGCTGGGTCTTCAGCTGTGCCAGGGGAGGTTTAGGTTGGAAATTGAAAGAATTTCTTTCCAGAGAGGGTGATCAGCCATTGGAATTGTCTGCCCAGGGAAGTGGTCAGCCACTCCGTCCCTGGAGGTTTTTAAGGTGAGACTGGATGTGGCACCAGTGCCATGGGCTGGGGGTTGGATCAAGGGTTGGACTTGATAATCTAAGAGGTCTTTTCCAACCCAGCTGATTCTATGGTTCTCTGATTCACATTTGGTGTAAAATAAGACTACTGAAAACCAATCTATATAACAGAGAGGACGGGATATAAGAAGCAAGAGGATATGCTGTATAATGGTATTTTTTTCTCCTCTGCAAATCTTATTAAGTAGAAAGCATGTAGAATCAGGAATAAAGCAATAAAAGAAAACTGAATGCAGTTTCCTCATGGATATTAGTATTTAAAAATGTGTTAGATCCATTTTCTTTGTAACTGAGAGGGTTTGATAGAAAACATTGTGGCAGGAGTTCTAAAGGAAATAAGAGTATATTCAGGCAAATACAATATATTCAAAGTAGTGTACTATGAAAGCAAAGGGGGAAAAAGACAATACAAGCTAAGAAAGGGTTGGTAACAGAAGGAGAATAGACATGTTTATATTATTGTAATGCATTAGGATGGATGTATTTGTTTTATTTATTTGTTCTAAGCTTCAGTTATGTGTTTCTTTAAGAAGCCAGAGTCAGCTCCTGGTCACATTCCAAGGACAGAAAGATTTGACACACTTCAGGGACAAGCAGGCAAGACATGGCACCAAGCTGCAGCTCATACAGAAAGTGAGAAGCTACAGGCAGACAGTCTGGCCTCAGAGGGAAATGAAAAAAAGCTTTTTTTCTGCCACTCAGCAACAAAGAAAAGCCCCCATGAGTTAACTGAAACCAAGCATGGTCACAAGTATCCTTTTTCCAGGACACAGGGAGACAGCTGGGTATTTTGCAAGTCTGTTAGGCCAAGGTGTTCTATGTTTCTTTTGAAATATCTCAAGTTTTAAATCAAAATTAATTTAGTTTCTTTGAATTTAAAAGCTGTTTAACATTCTTTGGGCAGCCCACTGTCAGAGCAGAGCTAAGCAGACTTGTATCTGAGCTCTGTCTGAGTCACATCTCATCACACTCCTGATTAGAAAGCATTACAGGGCAGCAGCATAGAGAAATATATTCTTTTCATATAGACCCCTACCAAAGCAGAATTCATGCAGATAAACAATATCAGTCACAACTGCAACTATTTGGACAATAAAAAGAAAAAGCCAAGGGCAACAGGTCAGAGACATGGAGTGTCAGCTCAAAGAATAATGCAACAATGATACTGCAGTCTGGCAGGCAGATATTTATGAAAACAATCAAGAAGCTTGAAGTTTGGATGTTTCCGCAACCCTGCAGAAAGTCGAACCCAGCTTCTTCATCAAATAGTTTTAAAAGTTTTCGGGGAGAAGTGGGAGAATAGGCAAGTAAGCATTTCCATTATACACCTAGTTATTTGTTGAAAGGAAGACAAGATTTTGTTTATTCAAAGGCATATTGGTCAGGTATATAAATCCTACAAAGTTCAGGTTCAGTAAGTAATCTATTATTATTCAGTAAGTAATCTACTATTCTTTAAAACAAAGCTCCCTTTAGAGAATAATAAGAAAATGAAGAAATGTAGCCACTAAAGACTTCAATTGACATGACTTTTTGCAAGGTAACATGCAAAGGACAAAAAGGTATAAAATCTTACACTGCTTACCTAACGTTTGTATCTTCTACTAATGCTTTGAGCATATCTGAAATGTTTTTCAAGTGTTGAGACCAAGATGTAGTTGGGAGTTCTGAGGATGGAGGATGAAAATAAAACTTTTAAAATCCTAGTCTGTCCAACTAGGACATAACAGTGAAACCAACCACATCAAGCTAACTTTAACATTTCTGCCACTCGATTCAGTTAGCACACCAAATTTAAGATTTCATTTTAAATTTTCCCATTTTCAACAATACCTATTGTTGTGTTTCATAGAACAATTCACTGGCAAGGCCATGTGAAGAAGTACAGCTAGGAATATTCAAATGAGGTTGATGTTCCTTTGTGTAATTGCCACCTCAATATTAAATCAGTGGAGTAACATTCTCAGAGACTCTTGTACTGAGCTTAAATTATTGTTCATAAAAAATGGAACTATGTCAAAAAGTGGTTTCTTGATGTGTATGAATGGAAAACCTGAAAAAAAGTTGGGTTTGCAGTCTAAAATATCAGCAGAATTCAACCTTCAGAGACCAACAGAAAGCCTCTTTCTTGTAATAGACATATGAAATTTTTCATTGCAACAATTACTTATAAGAAGATGTAGTATATAGATTCCAGTAACATGGCTTAATTCCTACACAGTTAGGCACTCTGTCATTCACTTCTGGTTTAGTTTTTGTTAAAGTTACATCTGTAGTATTGTTACATAAGAATTAGATGTTCCTGCAGAAAAATCCATTAAAAGAATATTGTTGAAATTGCTAAGTCAACCCCACCCTATTTAGGAAATGGCAAATCTTTGTCTCCATCCCTTTTAGAGTTATTTTAAGACATATCCAGATCATGCAGATTGGTAATGCTGCAAATAGTTCATGAAGGAACTTACCAGAGGGATGTCTGAGTAAAGCTCTTACCAGAGGCTGGTGATGGCAAGGGAAGTACGCCTTCAATGGGAATTTATGCTAAGACACAAAATCATTATCTTAACTGGTTTCTAATCAGTTTTCAAAACAAAATCACAGTCAACAATCTCATCTAAGGTAGTAATTAACAGTACAGACTGAAGCAAGAGAACAGAAAATTAACACCATATTTAATTTTAGGATTTTGTATAAAGAAAGGGGATATTTAGGAAATGCTTATGAAAAGTAATTATTTTAAAAGTATATGCATCACAAAAGATTCAGAGCATGGAAAAAAACATGACATTTTAATAGTCCTAGGCTTTTGCCCTGTAATCACAAAAGTCTTCTTCTTAATATGCAGAGGTTAAAAGAGATACTAATTAGTTTAAGTTAATTTTCCAGAGTAAACAGATTCATGGATCATATTAAACTAAGAACTAATAACATCTATAGAATCTGAGGACTTTATTGCCATCTGTTCAAAAACAGAAACCTAAAATCCTTAGGATCTGACTCAGTACCAGGTAGGGTAGTCACAGGTAACACATTTGCCCTATATTTATCTGGGTATGTGCAATTTTTGTCCTGTCAATGCTGGTTATTGAGTAATTGAGTAACTGAGACAAGTTGCACCATACCTTTAATCTTTTTGTTCTGCAAACACTTACTACAGGCACATCTAACATGTGGTATGTATGTGCAAGTGCCACATGGACTCCCTCTAAGGTAGAAAGAAAAGCAGCTGAATGGCCAGGCCCAGAGGGTGGTGATCAGTGGAATAAAGTCTAGTTGGAAATCACCAACTACCAAGAGTACAGCAGAGTTCAATACTGGGCCCAGTCCTATTTAACATCTTCAATAATGATCTGGATGGAAGGGCAGAGAGTTCCCTCAGCAGGTGTGGTGATGACAGAGCTGGGAGAAGTGGCTGGTATGTGAGAGCATTGTGCCGCATTAAGCAGGACAGCTGCCTGAAGCTGGAACACAGATCCAATCACGCTGCTATTAAAGACCAGTACGTCCCAAATTACAAAAGAAGTCCCAACATTTCCTTAACTACCATTTCCCCCAAAAGGTGCAAAAATCAAAGGAACTGGAAATTTTCTTAACTCTAAAGTGAAAGCTACTAAATGACAGAGTACTTTCCAAACTTGCATCATATGAATTGGAGTTCAAAAACCAAACAAAATGGTCAGGATGTGAAATGACAGTGTGACTTTGGAACCTGAAATCAAATTTGCAACCTATAAACAAGGCAAGACCTTTTCATACCTGTATTTTGAAATTTAAAACCAAGAAACTGATTTTGCTCTTGTTTAAATTAACACATCCAAAAGTAATTCAACTTAATTCAGTTCAGTAAGACCTGTACAAAAATGTGTGCAGAAGAAGAGATACTAAGCTGGGAAATCTGAAGATCTAGATAAAGGAAAAGTTCTGGGAGGCCAATATTGAAGACCAGAAACTGAAACCAGTATGTATTCTGTGTCTTTTATCTCCTGAATAGACAAATATGACTATTCAGTATCTTACTTTTAATTATTTAGGGGACTGGGGGTGTGGTTGTTTTCTCTGCTTCATTTATTATCGGAGACCCTGCTACTGCAGGAAAAAAAAACATCTAACATCTTTCATCTTTTTTATCAAAGATGGGTGCTTATGATCATGTTCACTCTACAGGCAGAAACTTCAGCATCAGGGGAAACGAACCTGGCTGCAGGAGTACTCCAGGGTAAAGTTAGGTAAACTGCTCTTACATATTGGTTTCACAATATAATTTTATGCACAGGTGAAAATGTTTGAACTGAACTTCAGCATATCTATGCAGCTGTAGAGAGATGCTATTATGTAGTTCATTATATTCAGTTACCTCTCTTAAAATTCTTCATTTTCTTGTGAAATTTTGTATCTTCTCACTGAAAAGAAGTTAAGAAAGAGATCTTGACTACCTGCTCGTTTTGATTCTGACGAGCCTCAAGGAAGAGCTGTGTAAACACCTGTATTATGGTCATAACTTCTGAAGCTCCATCAGTTTCCAGCAGTGCATTCCTAGGCATTGAAAAGTTAAAATATGACAGATCAGATAATTAGTCTGCCCATCACATCACTGTTAATCGAAAGGAAGAAAAAAGGTATATTCTTTGTATGCTGTAGGTTCAAGCTGTGTCTGAGCTCATTACAGAAGTGTGGACACTAACAGAAACAGTAACTTTGTAGGCTTTTTAGATTTTATTTTTAATTAAAAAAAAAAACAACAACCCTGTACACAACTCCAGCAAATAAACGAGATTTAGTAAACATCTACAATATATATGCAGACACACATCATTTACCCTACAACAACTTTATTAGTCAAATCTGGCATCTGAAGAGTTTTATTGGGTTAAGAGCAACTATTCCCATGATGAGGTTAAGCATACTTTAGTGTTTTGTGGGACTGCATCCCATAGGCCACTCTAGAGTTCAGGAAGGTGAATGCTGGAACTGGCATAGTGCATAAGAACCTTGACCAAATGGAGCAGAAAAAACCCTGTGGGTAGCAATTTTCATTCTCTTATTTGAAAGACATCTAACAGTAACGAGAAAAAATGTTCAAAGTAAGTTGCCAGCAAGAGATGTTTTTTATTAGAGATTGTTTCATTCCTTCCATAATGATCTAAAAGATATGAAGAGCTAACAAATTACTGCAACAGATAAATTTTACAAACCTACAGGCAAATATAATCACTGATGCAAAAAGAAGAAACTTAAGAAGAAACTTACACAGAAACTTAAGACAGTTTTAGGGACTTCTGTATAGCCACACATAGCAAGAAAATATTGGGAAATAGAAACAGAAGTTAATATCCTTGTGATAAAATTATTTAGCACTATTAACCTCAATAAATGTACGCAAATAGCAGGAGAAGTTATTCCAGAAAAAGTCACAACGCTTAGATCCACACTTCTAAGAGAACATTAACCCCAAAAATAAACCAAGTTTTGTGCCAGCTACAGAAACCTAACAGTTTCCAAGCAAGGAAGAACAAGTTCTTTATCAGCAGTTCTCTAAAATCTCATGTGACTAAATCTGGAATAGTATCTTAATGTCTGAACACCACTTGATAATAATTGGAAGGATATCAGAGAAATACAACAAAAAGAAACACAAAGCTGCATAAACCAAATTGTCTGCAAAAGCTAGGTAACATACACAGTTTGATGTAAATACCAAGAGGACTGGAAACAAAGTATTTTTAAAATATATTAAGATTTCAATATCAGCAATGTAGAGGAATAAGCACACTACATAGAAACAATTCAAAGCAAACAAGAGAGCAGGAATGTAGGCTGAGCAAGAGGAAAACGTGATGACTTTTTAAGACAATTTGGAACATTAATAGAAGTGCAAAGTTTTATTAGGAAACACTGTGCTGGACAAAGTCCTGCATTAGCTAAGAAACAGCAAAGAAACAGCATCTTATCCACTTCCAGTATCTACCAAAGGCAAAGGATGCAAAAGAGTTATGTAGTCTCTCATGTTATTTTTAGAAAATATTTTATACACCATGACCCTAAATAAGCCAAGAAGCTTGAACAAATTTTGTCTCCCTGGACCATCACAATATGCAGCCTCAGCCTAGGACATCAGCACAGGTCCGTTCAAGTGCCATCTACTTGTAAGTGCATCTTGCACTGGGGAAGTGCCTGGTCTCAGCTCCTCAGAGAACACTCAGCTGTGTGCAGACACAGGGCCACAGCAACAGGAGGGACTGCAGAGCAGCAGCTGCCAAGTGCTGCCACTCTCAGAACACAGTGCTCTGCAGTTCCTACAGCAGACTCCTCTGTCAGTGCCTGCACAAACCTGAGCATGCATGGACACACAGACACCCTCAAACACACGTACCTGGGAGCCCTGTTTGCTTAAGAAGGTACACACTTGATGAACAAAGGATGTCAGTCACTAAATACATTATTGTTGTATCAAATCTGTAATACTGATAGACCTGGCAGTAGATCTACTTAAAAATAATAAGTATTAAGTCAAGTGAAGCACAGAGAAAAAGCCACTGAAAACTGAGTAGAAAGGAGTGGAAGCCCCCATGTGGCAACCAGTATATATTGCTTCAAAATAATTTTAATGCATTCAAAACCAAACTCATTATTCACAGGCAGATCAATAGCTAATGCCATTAAGAGCGTACCTAATATAAACCCTGAAGACCATTAACATAATGTAAAAGAGGCTACCGTGGTAAGTGCAAATGTTTTTGCTAAATTCCACCTTCATGCTGGCATGGCACAAGCCATTTCAGCATTTATAATTTTCACCTCAAAATCATATTTCAACCACAAACCTCTACTGAAGTACAAAATAAATTATAATTTTTAAAGGCTAAAATACAATGTAGTCAACTGTACCAATTATATCATTACATAACTTTTATGTAAAGTTCACAAGATTTTAAACATTTTTCATTATTTGCAGTGTACTACCCAAAAGGCGACTCTAAAGCATACAGGTAAAGAAAAGGATATCCTGAAACTATAATACATCACAGACTACAATACTGCTTCTTCTCATGAAGAAAACCTCAATGTTTAAGTGGATCATTTGAAACTCTCCCCACTATCATTTCAAAACTTACTTGAAAATTTCATTTACAACTCTGAAAATGGCAGGATGGCTCGCTGCTTGTGGCTGTTGATAAACAAATGAAAGAAAATAAGGTATTAATAAGAAACAACTCGCACAACTGCCACTGTATAATTCACAGCTTAACTCATGGATGCTATTACATAGCCATTATTAAACTGCAACTCTCAGCTCAGCCCTTGCTAACCCCTCAGATTTTCTCAGGATTAGCATTCTTAGGATTCTACACAGCAAGACCAAGCAGGCTCTACAGCTGATAAATGCAAACACCTGGGATCCCAGGCTGTTTATGACAACAATCACCACAAATACTGAAGGTGGCAGACAGAAAGAGCAGGTTGTTGCATGCAATTGCTGGAGGCAAGGCACAGTTTTCAAGAAGCTTTTCTCTCCCCTTCGCAGGCAATCCCTTTTGAATGTGCTTTGAGACTCTTGCTACATCTTCAACATTAAATTCCAGAAATTAAATTGATTTTACCCCCTCTGTCTTTAACAGCATTGCATGCATTTTCATCCAAGAGTTTTTCACAGTATTCTCTTCTTCTGTGAATTCAGAGTTGCTAGTACAAGCTAAATCTCTCAGTGCATCACAATGTGGTTTTTTAAACTAGTGAAGGTTTTTAACCATGCTACCACACAAAAGACTGTTTTAAGGAGGTTGTTATATTAGACATGCACTAGTAGACACACTACTTTCTAATTCCATATTCTTAGGCTTTTATAGACCATCTGGAATAAAAACTATTTACACATTGCCCAAAGTACCAAGTTAAAGCCTAAGTTAAAAAAAAAAATCCTCACTTTCTGTGAGGGGGACACCTTATCTTCCTCTACAACTACCTGAAAGGAGGGTGTAGCCGGGTGGGAGTTGGCTTCTTCCAGGCAAGTAGCAACAGGACAAGAGGACACAAGCCTCAAGCTGTGCCAGAGGAGGTTCAGGTTGGACATCAGGAAGAATATTGTCACTGAAATGGTGGTTAAGCATGGGAACAGGCTGGCCAGGGAGGTGGTGGAGTCACCATCCCTGGAAGTGTTCAAAAAACAACTGGACATGGCACTTAAGAGCCACGGTTTAGTTGCCATGGTGGTGTTAGGTCAAAGGTTGGACTTGATCAACTTGGAAGTCTTTTCCAACCTTAATTATTCTATAATTCTAAGATAACAAGGTGGAAAAACAAAATGCAGCAAAACAGGCGGTTTATGAAGAAGAAGCCAACAAATTTTAAGCCCTCTCAACCTATTGCACTTCTCTTGCAAAGTAACTTTGAAAGAAATAAAACTTATTTGGAAAGCTATCTCAGAAGCAAACACAAACTATAAATGACACCCATTCATTCACATCTCTTTTTAGATACATGAGCTCTAAAAGTCTGTGTACATACATACCTATCCATTCTTGGTAAAGCATAAAATTCTAGTTGTTAATGCCCTTGTACAAACCTCAAAGTTATGTCAGAAAGGAAGACATCTACTCACCCATCCAATGCTGAAAAAGCTAAAAGATCATCTGTGATGGTCACTTCACTTGTTTTTATTACTTCTGAGTAACTGCAGAATTTCCAGTATTAATTTCAGTTTAGCCCCAAACCCACAAACACAATAGCATACCGTATAAACACAAGTTAGTGGACCATCACACTACAATTACTCTTGGAATTAAAATGTATGAGTATTTCATATCTAGTTTCTTTCATAATAAGTATGGTGGTTTACAATTATCTGGCTACCTCAGATCTCTATGAGGTTTATGTACAATATGGTTACTGTATCAAGACATTTTATTTAGATAAATTACTCTGATAATACATTTATGAGAGATTATTGAAATTTCCTGCTTATAATGTACTATAATCAAATCACTAACATATTTCAGCCTATTTGTACTCCAAAGGTTTCCTTCCAAATAGAAAAATGTAAATATAGTTTTGTTTCATGATTCTCCTTTCTATTACCATATCCATAAGGCAAACAGATCTTATATCCTACAAATACCATAATCCAACTGCCAAAAAATGCACACCCACATTCCTAAATAAATATTCAAATATCTTTCAAGCAGGCTAAATTAATTTTACTGTTGGATTCAAAGTACTGACTGACTTAATATCACACAAGTATCTTTACAGTACCATGTACATATACAAAATATCATTATGCATTTAGAACACAATTTCTGGATCACATATTTTCCTTCTATACTGCCTCTCTGAAGCTTCTCATCTTGTTGGTTTTAACTGTTATGCCATCTCCCATTTATGCACTCTCCCTCTTATCAATGCCTATCAATCAGCAATATCCATCTGCCAACTGCTCTCTTCCTTAATGCCTCCATTCATTCCATGCCTTGTCCTCAGGATGTCCTCTCTACATCACCACTCAAAGCTGCTGCACTGGTCTTGACACTCAGTGAATATCTTATTTTGAAAGTACAAAGTCTTTGGAGCAAGCAAAGACAACCTAAGTACTAGCACAGCAATGTTCCATTCTTTTCAGAGTAGGGATGTGAAGACAACTTAAGTTACTTAACATTTTTAATAAATAACACTTAAACAATTCTTAAATATTTTACTTCTTTTTATGTGTGTAGCCTAGACCTTTTATAAAAGATATAGATATATTTTTGTCCTGAGCAGGTATATGGTGTAGTACAGTACAGTATGTACAACTCATAGCATATCTGATATAGAAAAATTAGGCATAGGCCCTGTCTATAGCCTTCTCTCCTGGAACACCTAAATTCCCAGATTACATATGAAGAGCTGTTGATGCCAAGCATTTACAAGATTTGCAAGTATTATAATGGATCCCTTTCAATCAAAAAGGAAGAAAATTTAAAGGCAGCATTCTTTTCCTAGCTAGAATGCATACTCTGTAAGGAGTTTCATAGGCTGAAAATAAAATACCAGATACCATTCCTTAGTTCCATCATTTTATGAAACATATATTAAAGTGCATAGCACACATGCTATTTCACACTGTAATTAACAATTACATTTCTATTTAGTGTTGCAAAGTAGCTCATTATTTTGTAAAAAATACTATGGTATGTTTTCTCTTAGGGAAGATTTTTGGTACTCTGCATAACACAGCATTTTAAAACAAATTTTAATTACAGTTTAGCAAATGTATTGCGTTGAGAATTTTGTTCAGGTTTGCAAACAAAACCAAGTAACGGAGCAGTCTATAATAAAATATTCTACAAGGAATTTCAACTGTTTAAACAGTTGAACTCCAAGGGCACAGAGACTGAAGCGAAAACACATTCAAATCCTCTCTGGCCAAAGTTTATAATTTTTTAAGACAGAGGCAGGTACTCAGCTGCCTCACCAGTGAGATTATCGTTTCTTTATCCATTCTGCAATACTGAATGAAATCTTTTTTTTTCCTTTACCAATTCAGGGTAAAAATTAAAAAAGCAGTGATGTTTGTAAGACTCAATATTTGGTTTTCATTAACAAGTCATATGTCACATAACAGCCATTTCCTTCAAATCTGCTGACATATTTGAAAACTGCCCTGCATGAAAGAGCAGTGTCAAATGTACCACACGTTGCACATACCAGTAATGAGTCTTTTATGACACAAGCCACTTCTTCCAGTGAGTTCAGCTGAATAGAAACCAAATGGTCTAAAAGATGTAAGGTCGCTTTTTCCAGGCTTGGTGAGTGCCGAAGCCAGAGGCTGCAGACAGCTGAGTCAGGAAGGGAGATCTTCTTCCTGGTTTGAGAGAAAAATATAGTTTTCCCTGAACAACTGGAAGAAAGACAAAAATTTCCTCTTTTTTTAAACATATTGAGGAAAAACAAGACACAAAGAGCACCCTGAAGCAAAAGAGAGAAAATCCTGCCTACAGCACTCTATTTAACATCAAGTCATAGCAAAGGGTGACAGGGAATCACCATCATCTACAAATGTAACTTTACCATGTGTGTTTAAAACCTAAAAATTTGGTCATGATAGATCCCAGCCAATGGAAAAAGAAGGTTTAAGTCCGGACTTCCTGTCCTCTCTAGAGAAAGGTCCTGCCCAACACCTGTGCTCTTTTAAAACTGGACTAGTACCTGCAGACAGCTGCTGACTGATAAGCAGGAAGGTCCTGCATAATATTTCTGCTGTATAACAAAAGCATTACCTGTCTGTGCAGAGAAATAAGGAAAAAATTCAAGCACATTAACAACAAATGGAAAAAAAGAAAAAAAAATAAAATAAATTACTTAGAGGTAGCTAATTCTTCAGCCCACCAACACTGTCCAGAGCTGTTTAAAAGAAATGGTTAAGAAGGCAAGTTATCTCTTCACCTAAAGCCTTCATCTATAACTCAGCTGAAGTACAGTGTTGTACCACTGGGGAAAAAAGGGCACAGTGTGGGCCAGCACAAATCAAAATATGCCAAAGTAACCACCCAAGAAGAGAAACCACAGCACAATACATCCTGAAATACTTTTGTAACTATTATGACAGTTGCAAATTAAAAGGTTAAAACCAAAAGAATACATAAACAATGAGAAATATTTGCCTTGGTCTTAAATCAAAAACCCTAAAATTAGTCTGGAGAGGGCATGCAAACTAAAGCTATTGATAAAAAATGAAAAATACCAGCAGAAAGAATACTTAACACCATGTCAGGATCTATTTTCAACGTATTTATTTTGCCACATGTTTATTTAAATATCAGCCTTCCGAATTCTGAATTCCATTGAAAAGCTCTATTTTTTTCCATTCAGTACTATGTAATGACTTAAAAAGTGTACATGTGTAGACAAGGAATATATTGAAGTATCCGGAATTCCAAAACTGAAAGGAACGCTCCATTTCAGGATGCTGTTTAATTTAGTGTCACTATTAAAGCATATATGCACATCAAAGTAAATTAAGAATGACAAGAGATTATTTAATTTTGCCATGGTCATTTTTTTTGTTGTTTTAATGGTAGCATGGTAGATATTACAGACATTATGCCAAGCAAGAAAGCTAATAAACTTACAGAGATGTTCCAACTCTAAGATTTAAAAACCATGCAGGAAGTAAACTGTAGTGATTATACTCCTTTGATTATATTGAACTTGCAGATGGTCCCACTGGGACAATGCTGAGTTCTGTGGAGCCCTGTGACTACCAGCATTTAATAACCCTATTTTCTGGAGCAGGCTTCACCCATGTTCAGAAGGAAGACGGGTGAAGAAGAAGATGACAGGGACAGTCAGGGAAAAGAGACTTCAGTCTTCAGGGGGAAAAAACAAAATCCAAGCACATTTCTTAAGATCACATGAGCTTCAGTGACAGGCCAGGAATATATAGCACAAAGCACGTTTGAGCCTACCTGTGCTCTGAGGGAAACCAAGCACTTTGTGAAGGGCCTTGCAAGAGCCACTTAGTCAAAAGCCACATGAACTGAAGGATTTTTGCTCTCTGTGATAAGTAAGTAGCTCCAAAGTTAAGAAAAGAGACACTTATTTCAGTCCAGAGGATGGTCATACTCACAGTACCAAGTGTCAGGAGTCTGCCCATTACTGATATAAGAGAAGCCCATCCACACTGAACCTGTGAACCTGCTAGGAAAGTTTTCCAAACTGCATTACTGCTTGTGCAACTTGTACAACCTGAAGCCATGAAAGGTGCACAAGTGAAAAAGTGAAAGGCTGCTCTGTCTTTTTTGGGCACATCTTTGACTCCACATTCCTTTTTTCTTTCCTCTTCCTCAGCTTCTAGTAATGTGCATGAATTAGCAGTTGTGCCTTTCCATTAATTATTTATTTTTTCTGGAGCCCTCAATGGAGCACTATAAAAATCCTCTCTGGAACATCTCAGAAATTATGATGAGTACAGAGGAAGCAACTAAAACTTTATTTAAAAAAGGAGAGAAATGGATAATTGAAGTAAAGTGTTCCCAGAAGACGGTTTCTAGTAAAAAAAAATTTGTTTATAATAAAGCTCCTCAGCTACAACTTGAATAAAGCAACTCTCAAACAAAAGTAGGCTGTGCTTTCTCTGACATCTTCCCTCTCCTGGCATAGCGCATCTTGCTGATGTTCAGCTTCACCCAGCTGGTTTTCATCCAAAGATTGATTTTATCAGAACAGTGGGTTTAGTGGCAGCAAAAGAAGCAAAGTTATATTTCACAAATTGCTCCTCTAAGACTCATTAAAAATACTCTGATGAAAAACAGGAGAATTTAAATTCTTGAGAACCAAGAACACACACACACACACACACACACAAAATACAAAAACATCGAACATTAAGATCTATTTTGTGCATAGAAAAATGAAAATGGTTCCCAAAATGTCAAGTTAGGAATGGTGATACATTTACATGAAAGGTTAATGACATTTCTATGAAAAAAGATCACATCTTTCACAAAATTACTAAAATCTATTGAAGACTTTAACTTCCATTTTAGAGAAAGAGTGGGACAAAGTCCCAGTCTGTATTTAAAGCTGTTATGTCACAATTTGGCATCAGCAATACAAAAATCTGCTTTGGCCTACAACCTCAGCTCTGCTATTCAACTGCAAGGGAAATATTTTATTAGAAAGCAGGTGCACAGTGCATTCAGCATATAAACCCGGAGAAAAGACATTTAATTGAACTAATAATCTTTATGAAAGAGCATAAAAATTATACAGACCACAGTACTTACTTTAAAAAGGCCTCATTCACAGCCTCCAGAAACTCTGGACAGAGAATTTCTTTTGGTGAACCTCCATGGTAAAGAAGAAGAGTTTCCAGCAAGGGAGTCAGGTCAGGCAAAGTAATGAGAGGGACACAGCAAATGGAAACAGCATTCACACGACTGGCTGAAACACTGAGGGAAAAATAAACACAGCTCCTATTTCAGAAAAATCAAACCTTTTAATCTCTAAACTGATAACCTAAAAAAAGACAGAATTAATTACAAAAGGTTAAATGTAAGAGATGCATTCCTAACTACTGAAAAATTATTTACTGGGATGACTGTTGACATGTCATTACATATTGCGTGGAGAATCTCAAGAAGTCAGACAAAATTTTGAAATTTAAGTGCTCAAAGTAAGCCATGTGAAGGATATCAACTCAATTCTGAATTGAACCCAGTTGTGTTGGCTCAATTATCACATCCTTCCTAGCAGGGAGTGCTTTGTCTTTCCCAGGGTCAGTGAAGGAAGACTACAGAGTCACAGCTCCCACAGAACTTTGCTAGACCCTCAGGAGAGACCACCAAAATGCTTTTCAGGCCTCCTGTGCTTTTTTGACCTCTCTCCTCTCAACAGAAACAATATATATGAACAAAACAATATGCATCCTGCTGTCTTCAAGTGCTCAGCTGAAAAATTTTTGTCTTACAGATCTACAGTTGAAGGAATACGTAGTTTGGATCTTAATATACAAACCACTCACTTGACCTGCTCACTAAAGCTACATCCTTGGAAATAACTAAAGACAGTGGAATCTGGAACATAAACAAAACATGGAAGCTTTGGAACATTAAAAAAAAAAAGGAAAATGGCAGAGATTAGATTTGTAAAAGGAAATCACAACTTTTCCAGAGTATACGTGGTTTCTAGCACATGAAATGCAGCTTTGACAAGAAGACACTTATGAAGATCAGGAACTATGAAATACTGAATTCTAGCAAATTAAAAAGTGCTAGATTGTCTGTAAAAGGGTTTCTTGAGTTCCTGCAAGTTTCTCCTGACTGCAGTGTTCACTAAAATAGGTGCATCCTTTGCAAGAACCCACAAGTATTTTCTCTGGGGAGTCACCAACACTCCCTCTGAAGAGCTGGGATGGGAACTGCACTGCAGGCTGCTCAGTGTGGACACCAGGTACTTGTCATTTCCACAGGGAGAGAAATAAAACATGATATGTTTTCAAAGACACATATTTCTCAGTAAATACCTAACCAAGTATATGTTTAAGGTTTCTTACACTGAAACACCTTGAGATGCAATTTTGCTATGACAAGTGTTTCCGTAGGAATCGTAATTATTTGGCTGATATTTACTGTGCAGCAATGCTTTCCAGGATCAACATGTAAAATTCACAGACCTGAAACTCTAAATCAGACCCCTTTGTAAAAAAATTCTAATTCCTTATCTAGGATTAGCAAAGTTTACTCTTACTTAACTTCAGAAAGGCAAATTTTCTTCTCTGTCCACATAATCTTCAAAATATGCTCTTGGAGAATCCTGCACAGTGCATTCCACTGTGTACAACAAATTTGCACAGACATTTGCAATCTGTGTTGTTTTAAGCACCACTAAATGGGGAAAGGAGAAAATGTGCACCTCTAAATGCAAACTACTTTTGTCTTCGGAACTTCAGTAAACACCATATCATAATTTCTACACTCAAAAATCCACCTCAGTTCAAAATTTTCCTTTTCTCCCAGTAGGAACCAGGTATTTCTGTTCACAACACTCAGGAGCTTTCCAGCCATGGCTGCCTCACCCTGGTTTACAAAACCTGGGGGTTTGTTTCCTACACGGAACAAACCCTTGGGATGCTCCTCATTAACTGTGTCCATGATTTTGGTGCTGAAGGCAGTTCTGAATTAATTCAGCTCACTTACTCTTGCTTACTGAACACCCAGGTGGCAAGAAGGACGGGAGGAGAGCAGCCAAACTTTGGGCTCATGACAGGAAGGATACATTTCAATCAGCCTTCTCTTTTCTGTAACTTTACAAGCTATGTGGTGTTAAATAAAACATAAAACTCACTTCTTCATAGCAGTACTTTTGACTTTGAAGACCAAGAGAATGTACACAGGCATTTATTTAATTTACTTCATTAACTATTATTTTATTTTTATTAATAGGTAATATTTTACTTATTAATTATTTAATTATAATATTTTTATTTAGTTCATTGCATATCACTAGGAGTCTAATTATTTAAACACTAATAATTTAATTATTAGTGTTTATAATTTAATTAAATTAATAAATAACAATTATTCCCTAATGATTTAATAATATATTAATAATATGTTAATAAATTAATATATATATAAAAATTGTGAAAACACACACACACACACATATATATACATATATGTATACGCAAACACTGATCATCTACTATTATTTTACTTTAATTCACTCCAGTGGATTTCATAATAAAACAAAAGTTACTCCTTCCTGGTAGGGTGGGTCATAAGAGGCCCTGAGCAACCTGATCTCCTGGAGGTGTCCCTACAGGGAACACCAGCAGAGGAGCTGATCTATGATAATATTTGAAGGTCTCTTCCAACCATCCTATGACTCTTAGGTTAAGTATAAACTCTTATGCAAAGTCCAACTTAAAAAGCTTGTTCACACCTTAAATTATCTACATATATATCCAAAACTTCTCAGCTGAAGCCTAAGTTGCCCGAGACTGTAAAACAATCCTCACTGAACTGCAATGATACAAACCAAAACATATCAAAATTATGTTTAGATAACACCTACCTCCTCTGAATATTAAGTCCATTGAAAGGATTTTCTCTGAGTTCTGTTACTAATGAAAAGATCATCTGTAAAATAAAATAAAAATAAATAAAATTAAATAAATTACACATTCCGCCAATAAGCAGACACTAGTTGCACGGTTCTCTGTGTGACTGATGTACTGTAAAGGTTAATAACCTTCTCTGGTCATCTAGTTTGATTTTTTTAATTTTTTAATTATTGATGCCAAACTAAAGCTCTCCAGATCACTGAATACACTATGCTGCAAAATGTTTTTTTTAACACATTTTATGCCTTACACATTTTAAAGTTAAAAAGACATTCATTTTAGTTCTACTTCCCCAAGAGTTAAGGCAAAACTTTCAGAAGAGCATTACTAATAATTTTTACATGTTTTATCTAATTGAAGTAAAAATATTTTGAAATATTATTCGCATTATTTTTGAATATTAAATTTAAGATTCAGGGCTCGTCTACCATTTTTAAAGCAGTGGATACAGTCAAAGAAAACATTCAGATGTTACATTCCAATACACAAAATATTACATATAATTTTGACTTCACAAGAAAAAATAATGATAGAACAGATTTTTGTTTTGCTATAACACAACAGCAAAGGGAATTTTGGTTTTATGAACATCTATTAGAGTGTAATCTAATAAAAAAATATCCAGAGCTCTCCCACTTCCTTTTTTTCCCTTAAAAGGTTGTAAAAGTAACTGAGGTAAGAAAAGATAAACAAAGTTTAGTCCATGTTCCTTATCACAATGACAGTTCCATGTATGTGCTTATAAAGTGGTGATTTATTATTAACAAAATCTCAATTGCACAGAGTACTTACATTTTTAACTAAGTGACCATAATAATCTGCTGACGTGTAGCCTAGAGTTGATATGAACAGATTGGTTTCAGCTTCATTACTTTCCCACTCAGAAGAAGAAAGGAGATGGCACAGCAAACTCTGTGAGAAACCAACATATAATAATAATATTATAATAATATAATTATAATAATAATATAATAATAAAATTTTAGCTTGACATTTACTTCTCTACCAATTTCACTACAAATTGCTTTATATAAAATTCAAATACATCATACATTTTAAATACATCATACAATAATCAAAACAATCCTTTGCTGACAGATTCAGAGACAGATTAACACATTCGATACATTGGTTTTGCAGGCAATGTACAAAGGACTCTGAATTTAGTACTCTGCTTTCCTGCTTTCCCAGTTCTTCAGCACCACACCCCAGCTCTGCTGCCTTTTGTACAGATCTTACACCTCAGTACCTTCCCAACCAAACTCATTTATGAAAACTGTTGTGCCAGGTCTTGAGCACGTTTTTGCACCCCGGTGTCATAACTGAGCAGAAGCAGTCCTATGTTGCTCGTCAAATGATCTGCCCTGTATTTTTTATAGCTTTCTTTTCTTCTTGTTCTCTACTGGTACATGCTGCTATAACAAGTTACATTCCCCTTCCAGGGCTCATTAAAGTATAAACTAAATTGGACTTTGCATCTCACTAAATATATAAACCTCTTTGTGAAAGAGAGTCAGGATTAGTATACACAGAAAAAAACTTTAATTTAAAAATATATGATTAAAGGAAAGTTCAGATGAAAGCTCTGTGACTTCCATGGTCTTTGGCTGCTTCACTCTATGTATTCTTTTTAAAAGAGAAGCCTGATGAAAGATTTTGAGACCAAAAAAAATATAAAAATCTCATTAACTCATTTTCTCCTTTCAGAGACCCAAATACTTATGCATGTGTTTGTTGAACATCCCTAAGCAACTACTTCAGAGGTTCTGGAATTGGATATATTCATTCCATGTGCTCATTGTTTGATTAATGTGAGAGAGAAGATACAATCAGCACAAGCACACCAGAGGTCTAAGAAAATTCACTGCTACGAAAATAAGTAACAAGCCTTTGGGACACTTTATTTAACATACTTTAGGAATCTTTTACTACCTAGCAGACTTACATTAAATGCCTAAATATGCTTTTCCTACATTGTAAATTTTTTTCCTAAGTGGCCCTCAACAGGAGAAACTGATGTTCTATTGCCATCCAGTGACCTCCCTAAAACTAAAGAGGAAGGAAAACTCTGTGGCAATGCAGAGTTTCAAAGAAGTAATTTACATGCAACTTTTGTATTCATATGGAAAATACATAAAAGGGTGTATTTTCAAAATATACAAGCCTCTAAGTATGTCAAAAGTGAAAGCTAAAATCTATTAAATTCTACAATCTCTAAATAGGCCTTAATCAATTTATGAATGTGAACCTTATATATTTTTGTTGTCCTTTGCAACTATTACTTAAATTTTGTTTTCAGAACACTGATGTCTGAAACATGAAGTGTTCACACAATTAGTTTCTACCAAAAAGGACAGTTTACCAAACAGAATGAGATAACGGACAAAACTGCAAGTTGAAAACAAAATAAAGGAGGCAATAACCACAACAAACCTGGGATGCCACTTCTGCTAGAGGTAAAGTACAAAGTCTGTTGGATAGCTCAGCAAAAGGCTCACAAAAATCTTGCCCAGTGACAGTAACTATAAAAAGCTCTGAAAAAGATTTCACAGGTTGACATGCCAGCTAACGACAGCTAAATGAGGGAGTAGCTTAAAAACCCATATATTCACCTGTAACACCACAAAATACATTATCTAGTGACCCTGTCTGTAACCAGAATTTTCCTAAGGATAGAAGTGATCAAACAGTCTTTATGTGAAGAGTGATTTCCAAACTCCTTTCACCCTAGGTGTTTAACAGTCACCATTAACCATGCAATGGAAAGGCAAGACAAAATTGCTACACATCACCAGAGTCTGAATATGAGCTCCAGCAGTTTTCTGGGTTGTCTTTAGGGGTTTTTTTTGCTTACTTGTGTGGATTTTTTTTTGTTTCTTTTTCCTTTTCTGAGCACTTTACTAGATCCATGCTAGGACTAGGCAGATTTTTTTTTTTTGGGGGAACATACAAAACCTCTGAACAGCCAGAAGGGGGCAAGGGAAACAAAGGCAAGGAGGTACTGGAGTCAAGACGAAAGGAGGCATTAGGTATGCATATAAGACAGATATGTGTTAAAGTGGAAAACATTTAGGATTTGGCTCTATGTCTTACATATTTCATTTTAGTGGAAGGGGTAATATAATGGTCAGAAATAAAAAGTTCATTCTTAATAACCTCCGACTAAAGACAATATTTTTTTCATATTATTTTTCCAGCCACTTAGCTAGTCAGCTGGATAAGACAAACTCAATGCTTGTGAGAAAAGCAATTTTTGAATTAGAACATGGAAAGAAATAAGAAGCAAATCGTTCCAAGAGACAACCTTTAATGAGAAAATCTGACTGAGGACAAAAAAAAAAAAATCAGGTAGTTATTTTCTTATATTTGTCCATCCTCTTTCATCCTATATATCATTAACTTGATTATCAAAAATGCAGTACAAACCAGGACTAGCTAATTTTTAACTAAATACCAGTCATAACTGTTGGTTTTGACTTTGATTCACAGTTCAAGAAGTTTAAATTCCAGTAATTCTCAGATCTAAGGGGTATCAGTAGTTATTTCACATCATACTGTAGAAATTGGTTAAAACTAGCTTCAAGACTGAGTGTAAAACAATATTCTCTGACATGTATGTTTCTTCCTTCACTTTTAAAATCAACTTTCAGAAAATACTATAGAGAAATCAGAAAGATTTCAGGAGATTTGTTCAACAGGGTTTGTATAGGAAATAATAGAAATATTCAAATCCAGTGATAGGTTCCATTATTACATTATGAACCACCAAAAGCATTTTGGAAAAGGAAAAAAAACCATAATGTTTTAAATAGCCACGGTGTGGATTTCTGAGGTCAGAGAGATCAGTAATTTGACACTAGTTACTCTTAAGAGATCATTTCAAGCCCAAGGTATTCAAGTACATACAGTACTAAATTCAATTTAATACATAGAACACTAAATGCACTCCTGTATTGATTATACTAGTAATGAGTCCCACACTACTTCAGCAAAACTAGCAATTGGGAGTTCTACATAATTATCATTTTTTTCTGGCAGTAAATCATTTAACACTTACTGTCTAATCCACTAATACCACACTCTACAAGCGAGAAAAATGGGTGAGCCTGCAGTAGAAGTGCTGCATTCAAAATGAAAAATAACAAAGTGTCTGTTGTTATTGCATTTCCAGAATCACTTATCTGATTCTGGAAGATGAACAGCAGTCAGCAACACTGTCATATCAGAAGGCATTTCTTTCTTGATTTCCCTTATCACTGAATAAGTAAGAAGGAAACCACCTTGACTCTACTTGTAAGAGAATAAATCCATCCCCGTGGCCTAGGATTAAAGTTCTATGAAAAAATCCTATTCAACCTGAAATTAAATTAATGAATTTTCATAAAGCCTCCACAATGACCAACTTTCTTGAACAGCCTTGCCAGTGGCTTTATTTTATTGATGCAATTTATACTGAGTAATGGTGCAGATAATTCAAAATCCACTGCTGCACAGAGATTTCTGATATCTTTAACAGGCAGATAGTCCTAGGAGCATTAGCATGAAGACATAAACTCCTTTCTTTATCAGTGTATACACACTGTTCATATCCACGAGAATTTGTAGTGGAGGCCCGATTTAACATTTACTCCTCTGATCTACAGATCAAGGGTGGATACGAGGGTGGCCCAAATTAATACATTCAGGGAAGGTGGAGGGAATGAGAGTAGAGTTGAAACTAAAGACTTCTGAGGATACAAATGGAGAAAACAAGTCATGTTGTTTCCCTGGTTATCATCTCTCTGTATCTGTCAATAAAGCTCTCCTGCATTAAAGCTCTCCTGCTCTCCTCCTCTGCCAAGGTGACCTGCTGAGTGGATGAGGGAAAGGCTGTGCATGTTGTCTACCTGGACTGTCACAGATTCATTGAGTCATCTCCTGAGTTGGATGGGACCCACAAGGATCATCAGGGTTCAAATCCTGGCCCTGCACGTGCCTATCCCCAGGAGTCACACCCTGTGCCACAGAGGGTCATCCAAACCCTCCCTCACCACCCCTGCCAGTGTTCCAAAGGCATGTGGATGTGGCCCCTGGGGACAGGTTAAGTGGTGACACAGCAGTGCTGGGTTTGTGGTCGGACTCAATGAGCTCACAGGTCTTGTCCAACCTAAATGACTCTGTGATTCTAAAGAGGACTGAGCAACTCAAACTTTTTGGAATAAGCTAAGCCAACTCTTTTGATCCTCCTCATTCAGTGATGAAGGCTGACTTCCATGTGCTCCAGGGGGTTTGCTGAGGTACTCCATGAAGTTTGTTTCTCAGAGACAACATCACATGGAGCACATGCATCTGTGAAAGACTGGAAATATTCTGGAGCAGAACTTGCCCCTCCACTGATTTAAATAGGTCAGCATCAGGCAGACACCAACTCAGCCAGTGTCCACAATTCCAGAAAGAGGAAGGAGGTGCTTTAATCTTCTGATATTGTCCTCACTAAGCAGGGATCCAAGAGCTTTGAAGCCTTTTACCTCTTCTTTCTGCAATAGCCAATTATCTTCCTGCACATGGTGATGGGGAAAAATACAGACACTTGAATCAAAGGCACAATTACTTATGAAATTAGGCATCAACATAGAAATAGAACTTGATTTTTATTATAGGATGACATGAGAAGTTTTATGCTAATAACTGTATTTGTGTAGAAACTGTCCTGGAATTTATGACATTCCAGGGGAATACATAAGACATTCCAGGGGAGACCGATAAACCAGTTTATTTCTGGAAACTTCTCAACACACTCTTTCCAAAGTATTTATGATTCTGAAAGAAGCAGATGTGAAAATCAACACCTCCACTATATTTTGGACGGAGGAGATGGATGGTTTCACTGGGATGAGCCATTCAAACCTGATAATGATTAAGACTTCCCAGTG